ATGGATGCAGTTCCTCAGGAGACTGGAATAACTTTTCACTTTCCATGTAACAAATCAGAATGATAAAGGTGGAAGTGGCCCCATCCGGTGCAAGAAAATACACAGCAGAGAGAGGGAGATGTCAGGAGACCTTTTACACAACCGACATTTTTGACCTGTCACAGCGGGAAAAGCACTGGTGTTAATAATGGCTGCAGCCCATTTACGTGCTTCCTTGTTAGTCTTATGCTGCGTTCCAGACAACTCTGAACTCAAAGTTGAAATCTTGGGACAAATGAATTCCAATACTATGAAGAAAGAGTTGACATAACGCAACAATAGCAGCACAAATGGAAGTGCATATTTCATTCAACAGGGGAGGGGGTATAATGTATGTATATGTTTCAAAGTATAAAAGTGCTGCATAAAGAACATATAATGGTGTATGTTACCTCATGTGTCGTTTTTCTTCTGTTTCGTTTATATATGAGAAGGCTGCACTGCTGAGAGTAAAATTATGTGCACTATTGCCAAAGAAACATAAGTTTGTCACGGTCAGACAAGCTTTTCGTTTGCATTTGGCTTTGTGCACCTGAAATGTTTGGAGAGCGTAAGTTGGAAGTTTCAACCAGGAAATTCCGACCTCCAACTTTAACTGAAACGCAGCATTAGACACTGAAATGGGATGCAGCCATCACTGATGTTAATAGTTACACCTGTGCTTTTCCTCCGCAGTCTGCTTTTGACAAAGTTCTGTTGAGCACACTCTGTACACCCACACACAGAACTGAGATGAAGTCTAATCAGGCAACATAAGTAAAAACACCTGTGTGTGTGTGCGTGCATGTGGGCGATGGATGTTGTAGCAGCTTTACATTATGTGATGGGAGCATTTTTTCTTCCGTCAGCATTTATAGTTGCTGCACACCATTTTGAGCACACACGCTTCAGGGGATGAGTCATTTTCACCAGCTTCACCTGTGAATATAGCAGTATGACTAAAACATAAAAAAGAAGTGAAACAGATTCCTCTGCCAGGTTACACACTTCCTTCTTTTAAAGTGGTGAATCAGGCCGCTGCGGTCCCTCCCTGTGAGTCGGATTATCGGGGCTGAACTGGGATCATTTTGCTCTTATGAATGGACGCAGTAAAGGCTGACAGTGCGCGCTAGGTTTCTGATTCCAGTCCTGCTTTGAACACAGTAGGATAGTTCATCTTCTATTGATCCAACTGGTTCTCCTGCTGCAGGGTTTTTTCCAGAAAAAGCTTCTACAGGATGGTTTCCAGCTTCTGCTTCTCATCACAGTTTCAACTTGACAATCATATTAATATTTATGAAGAGTAGAAAATATTGGGGACTTGTTAGTAACTTGACAGGTTACACACTAATTGTTTACACTACCTGTCCTCTAGAGCGGATGGGTATATAGCTGATGCCAGCGTGACCTCCATGTAGCAACAATCTATATGGTTTTATAGCTTTCAACCAAGCTCTCAGCTATTTTTTACCCTCCTTAAAACCGACACCAAATTTCTCTGAAATGTTCTATTAATTCCCAAATTTCCTAAAAAGGTTCTGTTAGAGATAACCACTCTAGTGTGACTGTTACCATGGCCATTAATCCTCACACACACTCATCCGCACACACATGCACACAGGCTCCTGTCGATTAGCCAGCACTCTCCCATGACCCTTTGCTCCTGTCCTCACCAGGAGGGGTTGTGGATAACGTGCTAGCACAGCATGGCTATAATTTAATGAGGCAGAGAGGTGTGTATGTGTGTGCGGAGTCGGTGTGTGTGCGAGTGTGTGCATTCCCACTAAATGTTCCCAAGTTGAATCAGTAATTGGTCCTTGACACAAGTCTCTCTTATATCTTGCTGTGTGAGGAATCCAGTCCAGACTCTTCATGTGTTCTTCCATTTTCAACAAACAAAAACAGGTCGCTGCTTTAGATCTTTGTAGCATCTCTGTGTCAGGCACTGTTAGGGGACGTGAGCCTTCTTACATTCTCAAGATCTAACTTATCTCAGATGTAAAATAACGGGGGATTTGTCTGTTATATTCTAGTGTCCCATGGTGGTCTGTGCTCTGCTTAAAGGCTCCCAAATGTATTAGAATGACACACTGATCCTCTGTTTTGTTTGTTTGTTTTGGCTGATGTGGAAATGATCTAATATAAAGGACATTAAATCCTGGCACATGATGAGAGCTCACTATATCACTAATGCTCGACTCCAAATCCTGTATCATTAAGCAGTGCCTTGAACGGGCTGTTGTACAGGCCAGGCCTCTGTTTTGAAATGCTGTTTTTCTGTTAATAAGTCCTGTGAGCTGCCATGTGTTAGGGTGAGCTCGAGCATACAGCAGAACCAAAGCTGTCCCCTGTGTCCCACAGCATAAACTGTGAACTGTATGTTGTTGATGCAATATTACTGTGATACTATGACAATGTTAAAGCGATTGGCTAATTATGAACTGTTTAATGTTATTGTACTGTGGCACTCAAAGGTGGTATCAGGGTGTGAGGTAATACAAAGGAAGAAACCTACTTCTGGGTAACTTAGAGAGTACTCAGCTGCACATTGGGACATGGGCGGATTATGAGACAATGGGCTCCTGGGCACAGACATGAAGAAGGCCTCACTACCTCCCCTACATAGGAGCAAGACACACAGACTCTCTCTTTGTAGTCCTTAAGCATTGGGCTGCATGATTATGGCCAAAATGATAATCACGATTATTTTGATCAATGTTGAAATCACAATTATTAATCACGATTACTCTTTGTTTTAGACTTTCACCTTTGAATAAAGAGTGCTGCTTTCACTTCCATGTCGTGCTACATTCCTGCTAATGAACAAATATTTGCATCAAAATAAGACTGTCCCTTATTAACAGTGCCTCTCCTTGAAGCAAAATATGAATAAAACTACCAAAACTTTTTACTTTTAAAATTTGATCATCAGAGCACTGCTTTTATTTTCACCTTGTGCTACTTTCCTGCTAATAAACAAATATTTGCATTAAAATAAGACTTGAAATAAGGTTCTTCTTTACCTGAATTCAGTGGATCTCCTGTGGATGCCTATCCGATGCATGTGTTTCTTTTTACTGCAGTCAAGGTATTGTGACATGCTGCAGCAACAATGTTATGAATGTCTGAGTTGACGCTGGACAAGGACGGTGTTAATGGTACAGCGACGTCAGAAGCATTACTCCTCTTGGCCATCATGAATTCACCATACAGCTGATTGTGGTGTTTTACAGATGGATTAACAAGTAAATTGTGTTGCTTTGAAGCCCAGACATGTCTCATGCTTTCTTTACATATGATTTGTTCTTTGCTATGTCCCTAAAACATAATGAAATAATGATGGTTAATGATGGATGATTTTTGTTTTGTCACTCTGCAATGGCAACATAGTGGATAGTTTTGTTGCAGGTTGCAGCTGCAGGGTGCACATTTAGTGGCATGACAGTGCTTCAGAAGTGGAAGCTGCTGTTAGTTTAGGAAGCGCTTCATAATATGAAGTTGCATATTATGCAGCTGAGCTTTCTATGATTGGAGCACAGATTTACAACATCAGTTTCAAAAACATACTGTTTTTCTTGAATATCTCTCCTTCATTTGGGGAGAACATTTTGTCTCTTAAGTTATACAAACAGAAATTGAGGCATCATTTCTAAACGATGTATGCTAGAGCTCCTGAGGAAAGGTCATACTATATTATGTAGGAATCCGTAATATACCCTTTTAAATGTTTAATCGCTCAGTAGTCTTTCCTTTAACGCCACCTTCAGGACAAACTTTTCACCGGTCCTTAACTTCTTCAGACTTTAAACTTCTGTCTAGAAGAAACCTGTAGAAATAAACTCCATAGACACTTTTGGTGGATACACAGTACTTTTGCTTGTGTTGAAGATCATTTTTTCATTTGTGCCTGAAACCGGCAGAGTGAGACTGGAAACAGTGGGCCACGCTGTGTGATATGGATAACTCAATGTAAACTCAGACAACGGCCCACATTATTAAATTGCAGTGTGTAATTCTGTTGGACTGACAAGGCAAAGCAGAAAACCAAAGTCCCCCTCTGCAGCTTCATTTTGCAAAATGCCACATCAGCTCTGCAGTTCTTCACCAGACAGTCAGCATAATTCAGAATATGGGAGTGAATGAAAGTTTAAGCAAGGAGGTGTGGCAATGAATAAAAATGGGCTCCGTGGGTGTGGATGTTTCTGTTTAGTTTAGTTTACACCAATTTGATTTTGGGGCCTCAGAAAAATCTGCTTATATCTCAATTGAGATGCAAGGACGGGGAGGGAGATAACAAGTGAGCAGATTATTTACAAGCCCAAGGGCGGGCGTACACACACACACACACACACACACACACACACACACACAGATATAGAAAGAGAGTAAGCACGTAGGTGGCAGAGGTGAGTGTTATATTGTGTTATGTCAGATTAGCTGCTGGAGGCTTCCTTTGATGCTAACACAATCCACTGTATCTTTCCCTGGGTACTACGTGTGTGAGAGAGAAAGAAGGAAATTGGTTGTAATGGTCGTGTGTGGCTTTATATTTATTTAAACTGTATGTGTTTCAATGTGGGCTTCAGTTTGTGTGTGTGTTTGTGCAGTTACCACCTAATTTGCGTATCTAGCCTCAGAGCATCGTAGACGCTATTCATGTTTCCAAAAACATACTGCCTGTGTTCAGTATGCCTCACACAGCCCCGAGTGTACATGCAACCAGTCACACACACACACACACACACACACACACACACGTACACGTTCACGTCTCTTTTCTTTTGTCTGTTAGTGACCCAGATAGACACATTATTTATTGTTGTTTTGTTTACCTCTTTATCACCCCATCTTCCCTTTGTCTTTCTCTTCACTGTCCTCCCTTTCCCACCATTCTTTTCCTCCCCTCTTCATATCTACCTCCTTTTCATTTTATACACAAACCTTATTGTCTCTCTCTTCCTCCTCTCCCTCCTCGTCTCTAGCTATGCACCTGTTTGGCCTAAACTGGCAGCTTCAGGAGAGCGAGGGATATGGAGCATTTGAAAATGGAGGAGGGGGAAGAGATACAACTCCAAACACCTTCATGGTGTCTACAGACAATGGTGAGTTCCTACTTTATCACTTTTTTGATCCTTTCCTCTGACAGGAAAAGCAACAATGGATATGGGAAAAGTTGGCCAAAAGATGTTTGCTCCAGTTTAAGTTTCTTTACTGAGACCTGAAGTATTCGTGAGGCTGTAAGGAGAAAGTCATTTAGCTTCAAACAGAAATTTAGAAATCACTCGAGGTGCCCGAGGGAAACCTCATCCTGCTGTAGTATTGAAATTTCACACATCCTCTCACTGCAGTACTGCAGACCACCCCCTGTCTGCTAATAATTAAATTCACATGCAACTAATATGCAGTTGTGATTTATGTCCAGTGTCAATGCAGGAAGTAGTGTGATGTTGATTTACCGCAGCAAAAGTAAGAGCGCAGAGGTCACGGAGCAGGATAGTTATACATGGTGTTTGACTATGTAAGTGGAGGCCAGGTTCACATATATCATGGAAAATCAATTCACTATAAACATATCTGCAAAATTCATTGGCACAGAACATTGTTTGATATGTAGATTTTAAAAAACGTGCAGCGTTATGTTTCCTCCCAAAGGGTTTTACATAATCAGTGTATTTGAATTTAATTCTTCGTAGAAATGATTGCCAATAAACACTCCCTCTCTGCATCCTGTCAGGTAATTCGAACACTATCGACTTGAAATGAACACATCCTTTCACAGTATAGCCTGCAGTGTTTACCTGATATTACCATCTGCCAGTCAGCAGAGTATCAGAGGTTAGAGAGTCTCTGACTGGCTTTGTTTTCCCGAGATGTGAGCTTCTGTCTGTCTTTTGCAGATCAAGAGGAATTGTAAAATGTAACATGTAAGCAGTATGAAATAGTCTGAACCCAGACATTTTCACTGCTCATGTTTTTATGCCTCCATTGCCGGAGGCATAATGTTTTTGGGTTGTCCGTTCATCCGTAGGTCTGTCCCATTCTCATGAACACTGTATAACAAGAACGCTTAAAGGGGATTTTCTTTAATCTGACACAAACGTCCACTTGGGCTCAAGGATGAACTGAAAAGATTTTGGTGGTCAAAGGTCAAGGACACTGTGATTTCACACAGCATGTTTAGTTGAAAATTTCACACAGTTGTCTAATAGGATCATAATGGCCATTACTCAACGTCATAACTCAGGGAGATGAGGGGAGATATTACATCAGATACTGAATTGGTGATCTTGGGAGCCCATGTTGTACTCGGCTGATTGTATAGATCTTTGGCGGGTTGACGATGTGTGTGAAGCATCCACGTTTTAGACTTTGTAGCTTCTCTACAGCAACATCCATATTTGAAACATTGTCAACTGTAATGGCTACGTATGAGTCTGGATAGTCATAAACTAGCTGCCGAGGCATAAAACCGCAAAGGCAGTAATTCTAGTCCGTTAACAATTTGAGGTTTCAGTTTACTGTCACTTTAACAGTGATGGGATGTGTCCAATTGGGTTAACTGGGGCATTTTGTAACAACAGCACAAGGTTTTAATGAACCCAGATGCTTTTAAATTATTACAGAACCGTGGCAGTTTTGTAGTTATGATTCATCATGAAATATAATAGTAAATTGATTCTTTGTTAATAATAAAATAACCTCACCACTGCACAATGCACAAATGGCATCAGTAAAGTAAACATTAGAATGTAGGAAATAAAAGAAAACATGTGAAAGCACATAGGCACCCTTGGTTTATACACACACACTTTTTATACATATGTTCGCTGTTGTCCAGGTTGTTGTTTACAACGACTTCATATCTTATATATAAGTTTGAATAATGTGCTCTCTCATTTATTTAAAAGTGTTTTCACTGGGAGTTTATTTATGTACTCTTGCAGGGAAAAGAATTATCTTTGAATTTGCTTATTAGATTTTATTAATATCTTAAGTCACCAGGATTTACCATTGGGGGACACACACCTCCAGCAGATTCAGTTTTGTAGTATTAATATCGCTCTTTTCAGTCCAAGTTTGTCCTTAGGAGCTCTTTCCTTTATTCTGCAGCTTCTACACCTACCCAGTTTTATCCTGACTGGGCTTAAACTAGTTTCAAGTTACAGTAGTTTTCTGATTGCACTTGAGTGTCCCTGAACTGGTACTCATCAACATTATCTGTTGGTAGACTCCTTCAGTGGGAAGTACTGTGTCAGGCTGGTGAATCAAGGCACCCTCAAGATGCTCCTGTGACTGACTTTTACACAAATTAAAGTGCACAAGTTGTGCTGTAACATCAATAAACAGCTGGTGTTATACAAGATAATACTACAGATATTGCTGTACTGTATGTACCTACACGGACAGAGGGACACATGGCACAGTATCTTTTGCTGAGGTTTGTTCCAAGACCCATCAACTTTGTCTCAATACAAAGCCGTCGAAATCCAGCACTTGAGCAGTGACTTGCAGCGTCAGACACTGACGAAAAAAGACATCCTTTAATGTTGCCATGATACACGACCAGTCACCATTAGAGTTTAACGGTGCTCTGCGGCATCAGCGTGAAAAGGTGGCAGGACAAGAACGGAAGTTAAGGGTAAACAAGTCCAAGTAGGGTGGCTGGGAGTGGTGATGGATGGGTCCAACAAACACCGACTTTCACCCAGGAGAGCGGTGTTTGCGTCCCGTAACATTGTAAAGGCATACACTGTTCTTTTTTCCTAAACCCAACCCTGTGCTTTTTTTGCCTAAACCCAACCCCGTGCGTTAGTTGTTGGAGGACAGAAAAATGTCAATTTGCGTTGCTGTACTGACGTAGTGCATTTATTTCGAAAGAGACCGTATGTAAACATTAAATTTCCTGTGAAGACAGACGTGTATTTTGAAAGAAGACAATGCATGTAACAGGCAGAACTTGACACAGCATCCCGGAACGTCAACAACCAACACACCCAGGGTACCTTTCACGTCATATCTGGACGTGGAAGTTCCATGATCAATCAATGATATGTGACGAAGTTGGAGTGAGAATGTGAGCCAGCTCAATTGACAGCCCTCAGGACACCAGACTGTCAAAAGTGATGTCCAGGACACAACTTTGAGTGGTGTGTGTTGTGTTGTAATGGTGTAGATGTGTGCTTTTGCATCAGATGTTTTTCTTTAAATGTGTAGAATAGCCTGTTTTTTTTTTTTCTTCCATTAAACATCTCGGCCTAACAGACCTGCCAGCTTTTCTTTTTTATTAAATAACCTCCCCACTGCCATATGAACTTGAAGCTTTCTCAGGAGATAACTAACGCTAAAAAAAGAGTAACAGGACTGATGGCAGCTTTCCCTCATGGGTCAGATTGAATTGACTGAAATACATTAAAAGCAGAATAAAGTTCTTACTCTCTTGAACATTGTTAGTCCTCAGTTGCTTCTGAAGAACTTAAAAACAAAATGGTCTGCTCCTGCTATGACATTGTGTGTGTGCGTGCGTGCGTGCGTGCGTGCGTGCGTGCGTGCGTGCGTGTGAAACAGAGAGAAAGCCCATTCATTACAGTACAAAAAAGAGAGGCCAGTTGTGTATTAGAAAGAAAGATGGATGTGAGCACCTTTGAGCTCGCCTTGAAGACTTGTGTCATATGTTGCAGCTCGTATTAGTTTAACAAATGCGCTTAACGTCTAGAATGTCACACACAGACACACACACACACACACACACGCATGCACGTCTGAGTCAGTGTTGGTTTACTGCCAAGGCTTAAGCTGTTAAAGTGAAGTGTTATGAACAGGAAAGGCCTATGATATTACAAACTGAACAGTGGTGGAACAATTCCAGCCCCATAAACACACCCTGGACATAAACTAAAGAAACAAAGAAACTAAAAAATAAATGCAGGTCTGTTTGGGTTCAGTCGCAGTGACAAAGGTCTGGTTCCCTTCTGAGATAACTGTGAGTGAAGTATTCAAATTTACCATGGCTAGAACTTCACCCAAACTTTTACTAAATTGAAATTCAACCCATTCAAACCCATGGGATAGTAACTTTTTCATAGACGTGTTGCTTGACAACATGTTGGAGAGTTATAGCTGAGATGGTTAAGTCAGTTGATGTGGCCTTCGATGTCTGAGTTAGCCATGATACAAGCAGACAGTACAGTTTGAATATTATGGTAAAATGCATTGCCATCGACCCAAAATGTCTCTGATGTTTTGGTTAAGAGCCCACCAGACACCTTTGTGCACACATAGCATAAGCCTTATAAAGACAGAGCACAAAGTGAGCCTTTTCAGGGATTACACACTGAGGCATCAATTCAGTTGTCTCAAGACCATGTGGCCAAAGAGTCCCCAGGATATCTAGGACAGTATTCACTTAGCACAACCTAGTAGGTGAAGCAATGTTATTTATGAAAGCATGTGTCTATCAATGGCATTTTTGCTGTTTTCATTACAAGTAACTCAAAAACATTTTTAAAGTCAGGCCAAGAAAATGTCTAATGTCTAATGTCTAGCTTTGGAGTTTTAGGGTTCTGCACAGTATCTTAGCTGTTCCTAGGACTGCACTCTTCTGCACGGAGACCTCAGATGCTGTACGTGTAATCTGAAATGTGTAACTAACCAGTGACATTTCTGAACTCTGTTTTATCACTTTTTCCCTCTGCAGGTAAAATGTTTCTTCTAGAGAACAATACCATAGACACAGGAGAGGTGGATGTGGGGAGACGAGCCATACAAGATGTCCCACCAGGTGAGTTACACAGGCATACATGCACACATATAAGCCTGTGATGCCACTTTGTAAAGACAGTATAAAGTTTTCCAAAAAACAAAAAAGCATAAGACGCTTAGTCCCGAGTTTATAAGGTGCCCTAAGCTAAAACTAGTTGATTGAACTGTATGATTCTGTATGATTGAACAATATGATCTATGATTGTGGCCACTGCATTTAGATCATTGGGGGTAGAATACAAAACCAAAGTACCTCTCTGTGTTGAATGTGTTAATTGAATGTGGGGCTACCATAAATAGGCACTACAACAGACATCAGCCATATAGTTTTACTATAATAGTTCATAGTATTGTAGGACGTAATGTTCTGCCATGAGGTGTGATCATTAAGAATGTGAAGTTGACTGTCAAAGCATTTTGGTGGTATTGTATAATGACATTATTATGTACATAGTGTTTGAGCCTCTCTAAATAATTTTTCAGTGGTTTTAAAGATTAAATATTTAGCTGTTTGCAATAGAATTAATTCTGATGTTTAAAGCGTGGAACATATTTATATGTATACTGCATGATGCCAGCAGTGCCAGGAGATAAGAATGTACAGCAGATGAATAATGAATGTCATCACAGCAACGCAGAAACTCAACATGTTTTTAGAAAGAAAAAGTGGAGTGATAATCTAATATTTGAAATATGGGCTGAAATATGAGTGTTGTTATCTCCATGACTTTTTCATTTTGTTTTTATGTAAGCATATTGATTTATATATGGTGCACAGTGGGAATATTCTGAACATGTCAAGGAGTGTTTAAAGATTTGAATTTCTGATTCTGACTTTTGTTTGTTTGTTGTTTGTTTTTTGTCCAAGGTGTGTTTTGGAGGTCTCAGCTATACATTGACCAACCGCAGTTTTTGAAATTCAACATCTCCGTCCAGAGAGATGCTCTTGTTGGGGTGTATGGACGCAAAGGTTTACCACCCTCACACACGCAGGTTGGTTGCACAAACAATTACATGCTCATTTTCTTGTACAGTTCAAGCAAGTTAAAATGACGTTTATAAAGTTTATGAAGAAGAAACGTCAAGCAAAACCTACTTCTTTCAGGGGCGTCGGTAGCTTAATGGATAGAGCAGGCACCCCATGTACAAGGCTGTTGCCGCAGCAGCCCAGGTTTGATTCCAGCCTGTGGCCCTTTGCTGCATGTCATGCCCTCTGTCTTTCTCCCCCCTTCACGCTTAGCTGTCCTATCAATTAAAGGCAAAAATGCCACAAAAATATCTTTAAAAAACTTACTTCTTTCAGTCTGGAGTCCCCTTCAGACTTAAATATTGTCCAACATTGGATTTTATAAAACTATACATGCACAGATTTGATTGGCTAATTGGCATCATGTGCAATGACTTAAGGGTTGGACAAACTTTACACATTGATTGTAAGTGGACAGATGTTGGCACGTGGTTCCATTCCTAGTAAAACTGAGGGTCCACGCCAGCCCCCAGCACTAAATGGGAGGGCTGGGAGGTGAGCTTGCGGTCCTTCTACTGCCAACACCAGGTGAAACTAAAGCTTAGAAGTGCTGCTGCATCGGGAAAACTAACTTCATTATGGTGCGGCAGCTGTGGCTGGATTGACCGCGGTGTTTTGGGCTGGACTGAAGTCAGCACACTTGCTATGCGTATAGTCTGCGCATTACATGAAAGGGCTGCACATGAACGTCTACATAGAGGTCCTTGTGGACACTTGCAGCATGGGTGACTGACAACATTTACGGCATGCAGACCAAAGCAGACCCGTAAAGACACATGGAAAATATGACTTGGCCCTGACAAGACATGCAATTAATCTGAGTCAGTTAGAGTTCCCTGGTCAGCTAAACCAATGCCCTTAAGACTAGAAATGCAGCGCCAATTAAAATAGCAACATTTGTGATTCTCAATAACTTGTTAGGGCTACAGTTTTCTGCTAAGGGGTTCAAATCACCAAGCACCACCACCTATAAATTATGTGAGCACACAAGGTTAAACTCCCAACAGAGCCATATCTGTGAGAAGAAAAACTGAAGGAAGCTTGTGCAAACCAGAGAGGAATCAGTATTCAGGACAGTTCAGCATGAAATAGATGTCATGGTAAAACTAACACCACCGTGGGTCATGACACTGAGGGAGGGTGTTGTGTGAGAAAGAACAATATGATATGAAAAAGAAATGGGCACAGTTGTTCACAGAAGCTAAGGCAGCACCTGAGTCTACTGCTAAATAAACACCCTGTGTTGAAGATGGGATTTAACCAGCGCAAACTTGAGCAGAAGCTTGAGCAGTGTTCTCATCTGTGTCCCCAGAATGAAATCTTATCAAATCAGATCTCTGACACAGTGTTTAAGGAGGCCTGTCCTCAACCATCCAGAGTCATCTGGTCTCTCTACTTTTAACAAATACCAAAAGTGATGAAAAAAAAAAGTCCACCTCCCAAAATGTCAAAACCCCAAATCCCTTTTGCAACTTTGCAAGTGTGTCTAGGTCAAGCACTTTATGGATCCATAGTTAATAATGAAGCAGATAAGCTTCTTACAAACCTAAAGTACCCTTTTACTACACTTACATCTCTGAGTGATGAATCATGTCTTCTATCAAGGGACTAATCCACTTATCTGTAAAAGACAGCTTCATACAATGCCACCCCTATCACAGCTCAATGTTAGCACTTTAGATAATAGACAATGGTGTGTGTGTGTGTGTCTGTGTGTGTGTGTCCTTGTCATAACCCAGTCCATCTAAGTTCCTCTTTTTTTCTCTTAGTGTTGATTTTCAGTGTTGTCAATCTTGTGTTACAGCTGTTTTAGCTCAGAAAAATATAAAGTATTAAAGCATTTTCTGAGTAACTGAGCTAATATGAATATGTTATTGAGCTCATAACCACATGTTATGCTACTCTAAATTACTCTGTGTTCATTTAATTTTGTGATTAGAAGGTTCAAACGTTTTTAAAACAGCAACAAACTACCAACAAGTAGACAGAAAAATTTAAGATACAGTTGGTATTTGCTATATAGTTGCTGAAACTGTCACTATATTCTGAAAGACGTACGTGAGACAAAAAGTATGTGAAAAAAATCATGTCCCTCCTTTCCTACTGCCTTTAATGGCATTTGCTAGAATCAGAACACAGCACGTTCAACAACAACCAATCACTGTGCTGTGTGAACGTAATAAAAGTTTCAGCAAATATGAAAAAAGTTATTTTTTATAAAAGTTACCCACTGTAGCCTTAAGATCAACTTGAATCATAATGTCACTACACCAGCTAATTTATAATCCCAGTGAAACTGAATTTCGAGTGTCTTTAGCTTCTGTTCTGTGTCGCATTTCCCTGTGAAACAGAATATTTGAACAGTGCACAGTTACAGGAGGGATTTAAATCAAATTGTTTGCATTTGATCGAAACAATAAAAAGGGGAGAGTCCGCTGCTGAGCTCACTGTTGGCTCTATACACTGAGACATAAATGAATCAGACCTCTGCCACATTGTTTTGGAAATGAAATCAAAGGTTTTGCCTGCTGATATCTAAACACACATCTTTTCCTGTCTTTTTCCATATTGTTCTGTTAGCTAGCCACTACGTCCCACATGGCGGGTTTTATGTGATCAGTGTGGCTCAGTAGTCGCCCCAAAGTCTCACTTGATTGGATGACCTTTTGTAAACACCCATGAGTGCAGGATGAGTCATCAAACATCTGAAACTGTTTAACCTGGTTGAACAGAAAGAGAAAAGACATGGATTTTGATGAGATAATGATGAGTTAACACAGAGACACAGGACTAAAACTGGGAAAATGTATTTTTCATTTCATGGGGACACACAATCTACAACATCAGGACTTAAGCTTTAAAAACCCATAAATACTTCAAGCAAATTTCTTTGATTGATGAATTGAATGATTGAGATAGCTCATCATGGACTAAGGTGTCTTATGTGTTGGTAGTGTTTCTGAATAAAAGGTCAGAGGGGTTCCAAAATCCACATTCTTCTTGAGGTTGTACATAATCTTAAAAGACTTAATTGAAATCTGGATAGTTGTTAAGGTGGACTGACCACCATTGCTATCCCTAGGCCTTGCCACTACTCTACAGTAATGTTGTCTTCTATATTTTTGTCTTCCAGTATGACTTTGTGGAGCTGCTGGACGGCAGTCGCCTCATTTCCAAAGACAAACGAGCGCTCAGTGACACCGATGCAGGACATGCACACCCAGCTGGTGCACACGAGGAAGAGTCTGGAGTAGGAGCCCGACACACTCGCTCAGTGAACGTGCACGAAGCTGGCTTCATCCAGTACCTGGACACAGGAATATGGCATCTGGCATTTTACAACGACGGACGCAACACAGAACAAGTCTCTTACAATACCATCGCCATAGGTGAGACAAAGCAGTGTGTTTGTAACAGAGTGAATGCTGGATGTCTTGTTGGATTGGTCAGTTATTGTAAGTGCACATCTACAGTACACTCAGTCCATTTTTATTGTTGCCAGGCAACCACGGACTCACCTCCTTATTGTAACCTTACTGTGTAATCAATCTAATGTTTATTTATTTATTTTAGTTATTTGATACTAATTAGTAGCTACTTCCCAAAATGGACAGGCAGAGGGTACTTGCTGTAGCTCTGGTTGAGGGTGAGAAGCAGTCAGCAACTATTTTTTAGGGCACAAGGAAACTGAGCTCTGTATGGGTACATGAGACCCTAAAAAAGAGGGTGGATTACAGGGACCACCTCCAGTTGGTCCAGGAGCTTCACTTCGATGGTGGCCATTTCCAGGCATATTTTAGGATGACTCAGGGGCAGTTTGACAACCTGCTGTCTATTGTCAAGCCATATAGCTCTGGGTATCCAGCAACCACTACCACCAGTTTCTCCTCCAGTGTTTACCAACTGTAAACTTGATGTCGTGACTACCACAGAAGGCCCGCCTCTCATATCATCCGATTGGACTATGGGATAAAAGATAAAGAAAAAAGAGATGACGTGGGGCATTTTTCCACTCACTGAAGGTTTTTCAACCTCAGAGTGTTTTGAAAAAAACCACCAGGCGCCTAGAGCGCAGAAACACGAGGCGTGTTGCAACGCAAAAAACGCTGGCAAAAAGCCGCATTCTCATTAAAATCAATTACAAAAAGGCGCCTCCAGCTGCTAAAACGCTTTCTGTGTGATCAGGGACTTACACCCCTAATGTCTAACTAGTAAGTACATTGAAAGGCACAGTATAGTATTTAGTCACTGTTAGAAATTTTTTGGAACAATTGGAATTTCTGCCTGAAATGTAGTGTGTGTGTGTGTCTGTGTGTGTCAGTGTGTCTGCATGCAGGAAACTGCCACTTAGGTACGGCAGAGAGCCAGCAATGGTGTGTGATAGAGAGAGAGAGAGCAAAAGAAAGGCAGCGGGGTAATTGGATGTTAGAATGTGTTGATTGGACTGACTGGCTGTAACTACGGCAACCACAGAGGAGCGGTCTGTCAGTGTTGTGTGCATGCATGTGTGTGTTATTTTGCAAGATGTACAGTTGCATTTCCAGCCTACCCAATTACCTCACACCCTTACACCACTCTCTCCCTCCCTCGCTCTGTCTCCCTTCCTCTCTCCCTCTTGATCAGAGTCGATTATGGAGTGTCCTCAAAATTGTCATGGAAACGGAGATTGTCTCTCAGGAATATGCCACTGTTTCCCCGGATTTCTGGGGCCTGACTGCTCTCGAGGTAAACACACGTACGCCCATTGTGAGGCGGTAATTGTTGGGAGATAGAGTCATTTGTCATTCATGAACATGGACAAAGTCGTTTATTAAATATGAAGACTCTGACTAATTGAAATTTTGCGAGGTTAAGGGGAACTTTCAAGGCTCAAGTGTCTGATTTAATCATTACTGATTCATCTCCCTTCATGTGTTTCGTCCAGCTGCCTGCCCAGTGCTGTGCAGTGGCAATGGCCAGTATTCCCGTGGCCGCTGCCAGTGCTACAGCGGGTGGAAAGGCACCGAGTGCGACGTGCCAGCCAACCAGTGCATCGACATCCACTGTGGAGGACATGGCATCTGCATTATGGGTGCCTGCATCTGCAATACTGGTTATAAGGGCGATAATTGTGAGGAAGGTAAGACTAATTCCCTCCAAGAACAGACACAAAAAGGCACATTAGTTACATATTATTTTATTGGCAGTATTTAGCCCACTTGCTCTGCATCATTATCCATCACTGACATGCTGGAATTTGTTGAAGACATTACTACATAATTAAATGTCAACATAAATAATTGATTTAGCACACATTTATTGCTACCCATGACATTTACTTTTGAAACACAAACACCCGTGCAATTTGTGATTATTGGATAATTATTCATAATTGGTTTTACTTGCAAATATTGCTCTTGAAGACCTTACAGGACACCTAATAAATGTCATGTAGTATCAGATGGATAATTGAACTGTTTGTTATGTTAATGGGAGTGTTTTGGAAGATGTGGGGCGCTGAGCTTGATTGTGCCTTGTTCGGCTTCAGTGCACATTACTCAGCAACTCACCTTTGATACAGCCTTGTGGTTTTGTGGCAAAATACCCCAATTTGTTAGCTCTCTGGGTTTAGAGGGATATTTTGCTGCTCTGTGAAAAAAAAAAAAAACATATCCGAGTGGAAAAATGGTGTATAATCCCACTGAGAAAAATGGAAGGTTTTGTAATTCACCTCATGTTATGATCTTTCTCTGCACAAAACATGTACTTGTCACAGGTACGTGCTATGTACTGAGGGTTAAAAGCATTTTATAGACTTTACAAGCTAATAATCCCGCTGACCTGCATGGAAATATCAAAGATCCCCCCTCAAAGTGCAGCTGCTGACAGGTAGTCTGTTAAAATAGCGTAACTGCTACATGGTAAATTAATTTCCTCTAATCTCTCGGTCTCACACATACGCACATGCACACATACGTGCATACATGGATGGTTGATGTCAAATTGCTGACAGGTAGTTGGCTAGGATGGACTTCAAGCTGTTCGCTACACTAATTTAATCTGAATTGATCAATACTAATCTGCTGTTTGCTGGTTGGACACACCTGCGCGCGCACACACACACACACACACACACACACACACACACACACACACACACACACAGACCTACGCAGACATGCTACAAGACAGGTTGACACTCATCCGAGTGTGTACAGATGTAGACACAAAGGTGTGCATGTGCTGTTTATACATATATTGTCATACAAATATGCAAAGACATATCACAGCAGACAGTAACCAGATTAGTTTCAGATTAGTTCAATCCTCAATCACACTAATCCTTAGTGAGTGAGTATATGAGGGAGAAAGAAGGAGATGGTGAGAAAGAATTTGCCCTGTACAACAGAGCCTACATTACACGTGTCCATGTGTGTGTGTGTGTATTAAATCCCATTTACAGCTGCTGAATCTGCAAATTATTGCAAAAATGCCATGTGAAATTTCTATGAAGAATATCACAGTTAAAGTATTGTGAAGAGCAGCACTGAAAGAGTTAACCTGCACATAGTGGAGTGAGGAGAAGCCTAGAATTGGTTGTTGAGTAGCCTATTAAAGAGGCTGGGGTTCAGGTGTGAGTCCCCTTCCTGACCTTCAGCATCAGAACAATGAGCGCCTTTGTGTGACAGCAGTTTGGTTCCATTAATATGCAAGTTGTAAGCCTTGTAGTGCTGTTGTTGAATGTAAATATTTGGAAATATCCCTCTTACAAATTATACTAATTCTCATTATATTGTCTTTAGTTAACCATGCATATTGAGTTGATTATATGTCAAAGATTAAAGGACTCACATCGCACGTTTTGTTCCCTTTATTCAGATAAAACCAGTCAACTAACAGTCATTATCACCAATGTTCAAACCCTGCTATAAAACTGTCAGTCAGATCTATTCATCTCCTGTGCTCCTTGTGTCTGACTTCACAACCAAAGTGTTTATTGTCTCTTTGAAACTAGTGCAATCCCGCAAGTGGTCCACACTATTTTACACAGATGAATAATCATTTGCCTGTGCAAGGAAAATCTAACATACAGTTTGCATTATTTTGTTGAAAGAACAATGTTCAGTGGCATTATAGCTCTGGTTTGGTTGTCCAAAATTTGGGTTGCTAGGTGCTTCACTTTGTCCACCAGCAGCTCCTTCTCTTTAGCTCCTCTCATTCAATCAGTCGGTCTGCCGGAAACATCGGACCACAGTTTTACTTATGGGGGTTGTGAAAATCAAGCTCAACCATACAGACAAGCAAACCAAACACTGAACTCACAGCAGCTGAGAACTGCAGAGGAGTGCATCTCAGTGTTACAAGCAGCCCATTTGATGCAGTGTCAGTGTCAAAAAATATTGCTTTGATGTCATGTTACCCTCTCTGCATCTCAGAGATATGTCTAGAAGTTTGTGCAATAATGTTATATACCTTGTGCAGATCTTTAATGGCAGCTAGTTCAAAAAGAATCTCACTGCTGGCATCAGAGAACCTTCCCACTATAAATATCATTAACTATTTCCATGCTATGGATGACTCATATCTATTATAAAAGCTCATAACATAGACATAAGTTAAACGTTCATATTTATTTATTTTTTTATATTGCTTGCACCTAAACCCCTATGTAATCAACTCCACTTGTTTGTCCAATTAACAAATCATCCTTGTCGTCCTGTTGTTTTTCATCTGATGCTTCTGTGTTTAAGCTCCTCTAAGCATTACTTGTGTATTAACAATGGATTAAATTAGTGTGAAATCACCTACTCATAGTTTTAGCATTTCCAGCTCATTGTTTTGTTTGGTTTCCATTTTCAGGCTTGTCTTGTCTAAGATCCCCTCTCAAAAATGGGATTTACTTGGATGCAAATTATTATTCAAAGAGTATTTCTGTGTGTCACGTGTGGAGAGTATCTGGTTTCTCTATCCACATTCAGTCTCGACCGAATAAAGGAACATGGGTAAAAAATGGACAACATTAACCTAGTATACAACTGCCATTTTTACTATGTTACCAAAATGTTTTAGTTCTTCCGAATTTAGTGGTTTGAGATAATGAATCTTCATTTCTCTTTAGTTTATTACATTAGCTGATCAAATATCAAATCACAGCAAAGTCAAATCACATTAGCTTTGAATGCAGAGTGTCCTGTTGTTGTGTAATGTTTTTGCATCAGATCATGGATCATCTTAGCTTTGATACACACAGGGCTGAAGGAGTATTTTAGAAATACTATGGTCAGAACTGCTACAGTGCAATCCCCCCCTAATAAATATTTCATGAGCTACCACAAAAAAGGATGTCAAATTTTTCATTTCATTTTTCCCACGTTTGTATTACACTGATTAATTACATCATGATGCTCTCCAGTTTCAAAGCTTTAACCATACTGCAAGGATTATAATTCTGCTGGAGCAATACTAAATCATTCATTAAATTGAATTAATTGTATGTTCTCTTTAGAACGGTCATAATTGAAGATATTGAGTTTAAAAAACTGTCCTAATCAGCTTTAGAAGCTCATTATGTGCAATTTGGTTTTAGAATGTAAGGCACGACCTCAGTGAGAGATACCAGCCTTTAATAGTTACCTTGTAAAATCAGTCAATGCAGCACGAAATTTAAAACATTATAAAACTCAAAGTTTAATGTGTGTGTGTGTGTGTTTATTATATGACAATATGTACTCTTTGGTGTGTTATTAACTCCCCGTCTTCATCTCTCTGTCTACAGTGGACTGCATAGACCCCAGCTGCTCAGCCCATGGTGTGTGTATCCATGGAGAGTGTCACTGTCAGCCAGGCTGGGGCGGAGCCAGCTGTGAGATAGCCAAGGCCATGTGTCCTGACCAGTGTTCAGGTCACGGCACCCACAATGCAGAGACCAGCACTTGTACCTGCGACCAGAATTGGACCGGGCCCGACTGCTCTTTAGGTGTGTGTCACGTTTAATGTCCTGTGGTGTAACAATCTGGTGTGTGGATTTTCTTCCTATGCGGTTCCTCTCTCTGTTCTTACACAGTCTCTTAAAAGAATAAACTTTGTTTTCATGGCATTTGTAAAAGCAGAAGTGCACCAAGCTTTAACGGAGTTAATAAAGTGCTCTACAGAATCATTAAGAGAGGATAAAGAAGAGCAGGGTCAGCATAAAATTAAAACAAAAAAGCAATTACATAGCAGAACATAATTAAGATAACAGGCATAAAAGATGGAATACATAGCTTGTAAAACAACTAGAGAGGCATAATAAAACAAGTTGATTATGCAAAACTCATACCTGTAAACATGATTCTGAGGGGAGATTTAAAGCAAGATAGTGCTTCAACTAGTTTTACAGGCAGTGTACTTTTCTACAGCTTAGATACCCTGATGGCAAAAGCATGTTCACCTTTAGAAGTTAGCCAGGAGTTTGAAACAGCCAGAAGAACCTTGCTTGAGGATATTACACTTAAACTTGTGAGGAGGTACAAGGTCAGTGACATAGCTCGCGGCAGAACCATATTAAACCACAGTAAAATCAGTAACATCTCTAAATCAATTCTTAAACTATCCGGCAGCCAATGAAGAGACGCTAAAATAGAAGTATTATGGTCTCAAGATGACTTACACTGTGTTAGACACCCTGCAGCTGTGGTTCGTAGAGGCTGCAAACAGGAGAGCCGTCTCTTGACAGTGGGAAGAAGTCAGAGTACAACAAACTGGGCGACATGAAAAGTAGCAGAGATACATTTTTAAGGTCTTTGTAGATAAATAAGTAAGATAAAAATGTCTCTTTTTCAAGATGTTGCCATACCGGAAGACATGACACAGCCGCCATTTTGACTTGATCACTGAAAGAGTTCAGAGTCAAAAAGAGAACTTTCTCTCTTCGTTTCTCAAGAGTTTCATAAAACATTGTGAAGTCTTGTTGTGTGGTACCACAGCACAACCTTGTCTCTTATAAATAACATTCATATACTCCTGGTGATAGCAAATATGCATTGTAGAAAACATAATTGCACCTGGACTGCATTTTTTCAATCAAAATAGGAGACAATCGTGTGATGACATTCACTGTCAACCTTTTATTTGTCCCTACAACATCTGCTTCTCGCAATATAACAGCGTTTGATGATTTTAAATATATTCAGGAAACTCAAACCACTTCATTAAGGTTGTGACAAGACTGCGGTCTTGATTGATTGTTTAAAAAGTCAGTGTTTATTTGAAGCATGAGACAGGACATGTTTACTTTTTCGTTATTTCCCCAAAATCATCTTTCCCTAACCTTAGCCAAAGACGTTTATTTACCTCCATCTAACTACATGCAGGACGCCAACCCCAGCCTCAGTGTCTGTACTCTGATTTGTGAACCTAACCATCCACCCTGACTTCTCTTCAGTTTCAGAATATTAAATTCCCTAAATTGGTTAAAACATTGCCAGAGAGCATAACCTAGACAGCAAATGTTTCCAAATGTATTTGGCAAACCAAAGGGCTGCCTTTTTGACCAAGTCCTGTAAAACTGAATGACTCAGTACTCGAAGTTGTTAGTTATTGCATTCCCAAATGATTGATCACTGGCACATCATGTGGCAGTGCCTTTCGAAATGCATTTGACAAAAACAATAATTTTACCCTACAGATTACAGGAGTTTCTCGTCTAACACTGCCTTGATCGTTTAGTTTGTTTGTATTGTTGTGTGATATTGGTGAATCTGAACTAATCCTTCAAAACACCAAAGTCTCACAAACAAACTAATCGATTGAGACCAAAAACTCCCACATTTTGTGAGGTAAAATGACTGTTTGTTGAAGAGTGCAGAGATGCATACAACAGTTTAAGTCCCTGGTCAGAAATGGTTGTCTGACAGCAAAGTAAAGTGGTGAAAAAGTTCTAAATAAAGTATACATTGAAACTGATATAGATTTTTCTAGGTGACTAGAATATATTTTGCTGCTGTCCCTTGCCCACAGCAGTACATTGCTTAGCTTCTGTGGTGGTACTCCTGTCTGTTTCTCCAAACTGGGGGGACTTCTACTGTAAGTGATACATCGACAATGGATAAGTACCTTATACAACCTCACTTGAAAAATTCAAAACTATCCCTTTACGGTCAGGGAAAGATCATGGTCACGGTTAAAGGAAACCAAAATTGACTGTCAGTAGGAAATGGTAAACAAACAGCGGTCTCTGTTGTCACAGTCACATGCTTTGTTGACCCATTTTTCCACTCCGACCTCCTCCCTGAAGGCTTTTGCGGTGCTATAACAATGTCACGTTATGCCTGTCTCGGTTCCAGACGGACATGAGTCATAATTAACACGTCCAGAAGAGGTCGCTTGTCAGCAAAATGTAAACACAAGCAGCTTTTGGCATTTAAACAAATGACCAATGTTGTCTTTTCTTTCTGGCGAAGACAGTTTTCTATTTTGTGGTGATGTAGAAAGGGAGCGAGATAAAGAGGGAATGAGACAGAGAGGGAGACAACAAGACAAGTGACAGCGTTGATGCAGAAAAAGAGGTGAGATTAAAAAAAAGCTGGAGGAGGAATGCAGATCAGCAATAGATGGGTTGACATGAAAAACAAAGACGAGGAAAGAAGTGTGTGTGTGTTCTCACTTCTATTTGTGTTGCCTTCAGCTGTTACGCTGAATATTGTCTTGTCAGAAACATTAAACACACATCCAATTAAGTACCAATGTTTTGTAAAACACACACACAGGCTCACTAATGAAATAAATTACATACATGCAAAAAAATACATGCACCATTTGTTATGGCTTGATCATGGCCTTTTGTGTGTGATGGCACACAAAGACAGGTACAATTCTTGCAATGTCAGGATGCATATTATTTCACATGATGCATATTTACAGTGTCATTTATGATGGTTTATTGATGTTCCATAAACCAATAAATGCAGAAAAGAGATTGCAGTTAGTGTTATGTTTTCTTGTGTGTGTTATTGTTGTTCTTTCTGTCTCTAACAGAGGTGTGTGAAGTAGACTGTGGCAACCACGGCGTCTGTTATGGCGGTGTGTGTCGATGCGAGGAGGGCTGGACAGGAACTGTGTGTGACCAGAAGGCTTGCCACCCACTGTGCAGCAAGAACGGAGTGTGTAAGGAGGGGAAGTGTGAGTGTGACCAGGGATGGACAGGGGAGCACTGCAATATTGGTAAGTGGATCTGACACCACACACACACACACACACTACAGGAAAAAAATGTACGAAGGAAAAGTGAGACCATGACTAAGCTGTTTCTCAGTATGCACAAACTTTTAATGACAAACTTAAATGTGTACTTCCACATGAAAGTGCTTGTCAATGGTTTCCCAAAAAATTGTGAAATGAGGATTTCTGGAAAAGCATATATTATGTGCTTTGTACAAATGCAGTGAGAGGAAAGCATTTTTTACCTTTGTGTTGCCAGATTGCACTGAAAATACTCTAATCTGGCATTACTTCATGACTCACTTACTTCAGTTTCCAGTAGGACACAATAAAACAGTAGCACACAGCCTTCAAGAAACCTGGAAGAAACTTGAGAATTGGTGGGTAGGCAAACCCTTCTTCACTGATAAGACTTGATTGAACCCGTGACAGATATACAACAGTCTTTTTTTCCATGGTTGCTGCCAGGGTGAGATAAGAGGAAAATGTTGCTGCTAATTATATGGATGTCCATGTTTGTGTTGGTTATTGTTGTCGTTCAATAAAACTGGAGCTACGATAGTGCCACTTGTAAAAATGAGATCCAGGTTGTAAAAAGCAGAATTGTCCTTTAGAATCAGTCATGGTCGGCCATTTCACTGGGGAATGATATTAACTTCTTTTTTATTACCGGGGGTGAGCCCAATAGGCTGTGTCAGTTACCAACACTGCAAAAAGCATATCAGGTCATTTCTGTCTGGAGTCACTCCTTAAAAGCTTGTTTTCTGAAAAGAAGTGAAAACACTGCTAGTGCAGTAAGAGAATTCCAAGAATCAAATTTGGCTGTTAAATATGAATACTTGACTATCCATTTCTTTTTTGCCATGTAGAGTTTGAGAGTTTGAACAGATTTCATTCAGGGCGTTCAGGAGACACTAACATTCACGTCCTATGCGTGCTAACTGCGCTAACAACTGATTCACAACCAGGCAACATTTTTTGTCGACACTATACATTAAACCAAAGTCAGAGACTACATCATATTAAGTTGCTGTGAGCTGTAAATTCACCACATTTGAGCAGAAGCTAAAGACATCCTTATATCTGTGCCTGATCGGGCAAAGCCTCTCTCCCTCCAAGCAGCTGCCTCCGTCTCACTCAGACTCACCCTGGGTCTTCGGTTGCAGCTACCTGTACTGGAGAGCAGTGTGAATGTGAGGAGTGCTAACCCCAGAAGTACACTGCTCCCTGACTGTTAAAAAAAAGTGCTGCTTGACCTGAAAAGTCTCTGACTGATGATTAGAATCTTCAACTCTAAGGAAGCAGCCCTAATAGAAATCAAGTTCAAGCTCTTTATTGTTATCATGTCTGCAACGATTACAGAGGCAGTTGTTGGCAAGGAAAAATGCTCATTAAATATCTATTAAAAAAAAGAAAAAAGAAAATCACACGTCAAAACAAAATTGGAATCTAAGATATAAAATAGTGCAAGATTAAATATAGTGTTAAATTAAGTGATATGAATTTGTGTTCACTTGCAAATAAATAAACCTGATGTATGTGTGGCTGTATCCAGGTTGCTGCACTAGAATTGAGATTTTCAGTGAGAGTATTTCTGTCCAGCTACTGACTGATAGCTCCGTTTTGGTCTCCACCACCTCCTGCTGCTGAGAACGTAGAGTACACTGGGCTTTTTAGAGCCTTTTCACTGAAAACAGCTGCCTCTTATGAGAGCAGTGAGACTGAATCAAAACAGTAAAGTTATGGCCATAAAACTTGAACATTGAGCTGAAAGACATTAAAATGCTTCGTAGAGCTGCAAGGAGTGTAACAAAGATATATCAACTCAATGATCAATGATACACTAACATCGATTCAAAGTGAAAACACTGATATATATATCGTCATGTTTAAGATGCGCCTTTACTTTGAAATTCCCATGTCACGTTTGTGTCAGCCTTTCCCTCCAAGCACAACTCCGTCCTAAACATTCAATCAATGCTGGCAGCTTAGTGCCAGGCAGATAATGGAGAGCAGCCAAGAAAAAGACAGAGTATATTTACAGATATTGTCTCATATTAATCGTAGGCCCTTGAATTGAATTGAATCAAAACTGTATCGTGGCAAACTTACTGATATCAGAAAATATTGTTTTGTTGTCCAAAGAATCGATATATTGTTGTAATGAAACTTGCGATTTACACCCCCAAGAAGACACACTCACACAAGCACACAAAATCTGAATGTTGAGCTGGATTGTTCTGACATTTAAAACACAGACCAAACCACTGAAGAACAGCTGTTGCTTAGCGTCGATGGCAGGAACACTATCTTTCCTTGTGCTGCTTGCTATCTACAGTACTGACAATGAGATTGAGTTTTTAAGTGAGAATCCATGGCAAGTAGAAAACCCCCATCCTGTTGTGTTGCAATATTTAAACAGTGAAACAGACGAGTAGTGGGTCCTTTGTGGCAGCCTCAGCTCACCACCAAACCCTTCACTTGTTGTCAAACAGACAGACAGCTACAGTAGTGCTGGGAAAGAGTTGCAAATTAGCTCCAGTGATTGTCACTTAGACACACATACACACTGACACACGTGGAAACCAAGGCTGAGAGAGTAACAGTGAGATGAGGGGAAATCCATTTAGAGCGCTTAGCTAACAGCTTGATTGTTTAGACGGATTGTATGACTGAGAGGATTCATACAGGCTTGCTCTCTTCCTCTGTCCTCCAGTCTCTAACCAGCACATGTTAGAGTCAGCCGGAAAATGTGACCTCACTGAAGGACTGTTTCCGTAGTTATTAATTGGCTGTTTATATATTTCAACAAATATTCCAGCTCACATAATGTCCTTAATTTTTTTTCTAAAGCCAGTGCAATCAAGAAAATAACGTCAACAGAACATTTACTGTAGTCGGCCTAAACCTGAATATTCACTGGTCATATTGTTAATGAGGTGTCTCGTGAATATAATAAAGGATAACACAGATCTTCTCTTTTGCTGTCTGTGTTTCTTTCCTTTTTTCTGTTTGACTGAATCTCTTTGTGTCTAATTGAATTTCTACCTCTCTCTGTTCTCTTCATACGCGATCAGCTGCCCTCACTGATGGTGATACTGGAGGGTTTTTTAATATTTTACTCCCTATTTTTCCCGACTAAACGCTCTCTTTCTATCTATCTCTTTTCTTCCTTTCTTTTTTCCTTTTGTTCTTAAAGCTCACAATCCGGACATTAGAGTAAAAGGTACTGTGCTCTTTTCTCTTCTTCTCCTCATCACTCGCTTTTTCTCATCATCCCTTCTTCTTTTGCTCTTCTCTTAGCGTAATTTATCGAGACTTCTTCTTACATTTTGGATATCTCGAGTATGTTGTGTTTTCACCCCATCATCCCCCCTATCATTTTGCCAGCTCTGATAAAACGCACCATTACTGTTGCTTTGAACATTTTCAGGGTTTAAATATTGCCCGTAGCACAATGGCTTTTTTCTTTGCCTTTTGGGGTTGCACACTTAGATATCGTCAGATAAAATAGAATTAAACCTTGAGAGTTATGTGTATGTTCTACCTTACTGTGGTTTGTGTGAGCTGAATGTATTTCTCTCTGTTTATTGTCCATGGGTTCTTTAGGAGTTGCTTCACATTTTTAGTTTTTGAATGCTTGGACCCCCTTTAAAAACAAGGGAATACATCTCAAGAGGTTTATCCCAAATTTCTTGAAATTCCCCCAACCAAATGCGCTGCAAATTGTTCTTTCCCATCAAACTTGCAAAAAAATATAGATCAGAAGTTCAAAATTGGAGGGAGTCCCTAAAGTAATGAGTTGTGTTGATGTCCAACATTAGACTTTTGGCTTTTTAGCCTTCTATTATGAATTGGTTTGACATTGATGACTTATTTTTTAAGGTTTCTGTACAGCTGTTATTATCTAGAAGTCAGGCCGTGATCCAGTTTCTAGTATGTTGAAGCTGGATCACAAGAAAATGGGAAAATTAAGCATGAAACAGAACTGGTACTGAAAACCCCCTTGAAAAGAAAAAAATGGTCTTTCAAAAACATATTGAACTGTTAATATTCTGCATATCCCCATGTAGATACCGTATGTTTGACATTGTAATGTTCTACAGTCTTAGTGTTTGGGATAGTTGAGACATATTGTACTTTTTGAGGACAACCTTAGTACAACTACAGACAAATATTATACTGAAGTGTCCAGTATAGACCATGAAATCCTGGCTCTGCTTGAGGCTTAGTTTTCCTGTAAGCTGGTTCTTCTCCTGTCCCTGTTTTTATACACAGCCGTACCCTTACATGTGTGTGAATGAGTTTAAGCAACCATAATCTTACTCACACAGTGGGCTTTTGTGCTAAACATGTCAGTCATACGTTATTTCAGACAGGACATTTGCGTATGTGCAAGTATTTCCAAAGCAAGTGGTCATTGTACTGTGACAGTATTAAATCAATTTAGCTGATTTTAAGCCTTTTTTTGTGCAACATGGGAATGTTGTAGATAAGGAGCTCAATTATTCTTGCTCAGAGGCAATGCAGCATCAGGCAATGAAAAGAAAACATATTTTGGATTATAAAGTGGCCTTTCTTTACATCATTCACTGAATACAGTTGTTAGTCATATTCATTGGACAAGGTTATTTGTAGCTGTAATTGCTAAAAGACTACTTCTTAATTGACTTTCCGAATTGTGTCCTGCTTTTAAATGGTATAAATTCGGATACAGTGATTGAGATGTATGCCAAAAGTTTCTGAAGGACTTTTCGAAGCCTTGCTGACATCTTTGTCAGCTGCTGAGGCAAGAACACACAGTTTTGGGAGAGTGGGCCTGAAGCTGAGGTTAGACGACCAAGCAGCAACCTGAGTGTGATAAAGGAGGAGCACTCTAGTCATACAGTATTGCCTCATAAGGGTGACCACGTCCATATCCAGAATTTTAGAAACACTAAAACCCCACACCAGATGGTGCCAGATGGGGAAATAATGAGTACTTTATTTTGTATTTATTAAATGGCCAAAAAAGTCAAATTATATTTATTGAGGTCAGTCTACAAAATACTGGGATTAGTCTATAAAATGTAGACCGACTGTTTTTATGCCTCTGCACTGACGATAACCGTGGCAGTAGGTATTATGTTTTCAGGTTGTCCGTCTATCCATCCCATTCTTGTGAACACAGTATCTGAGGATCACCTCAAGGTCATTTCTTCTAAGTTGGCACAAACATGCTCTTGGATTGGACAATGAACTGATTCGATTTTTGGTGGTCAGCGGTCATGACCATTGTGGCCTTGGGATCGTCTCTTTCTCATGAATGTGATATCTCAAGAAAGTCTTGAGGAAACGTCTTCAAGTTTGGCACAAACATCAACTTTAATTCAAGGATGAAGTGAATAGATTTTTGCGGTAAAAGGTCAAGGCCACTATGACTTCAAAAGCTTGGTCATAACTCAAGGATTCGTACATTAATTATGACAAAATGTCACACAAATGTCGAAAAGGAAAAAGATTCAGATGAAGTAATGACATTTTATATCCAAAACGTCAAAGGTCAACTTCACTGTGACCTCATAATGCTCTGCACAAGCACTTTTCTGGCTGTTATTCAGCATCATAACTCAGGAACAGAAGAGGAGAACCTTGGTCAGACACTAAATCAGTGAAACTAATCTTGGCTGTCCACCTTAAAACTGTGCCAGTTGGATAGATCTGCTGCAGGGGGAAAGATGTGTGTGAAGCATCTTTGTTTTAGAATGCATAGCTTCTTAGCAGCGACATCCATATTTAAAACACTGTCAACTGTTATATGAGTCTGGACAGACATGGATGTAAACTGTAACTGTAACTTGACTGGTTCATGGAGGCATACAACCACATTGTTTTAATTCAGGTTAACTGTGGAATGTAAACACCCCCCAGGTTGCTAAAACCTCCCCGAATTTTCAGCGTCCTCAGTTGTAGCTGCCCTGATCCTGACTTATAAGATGATGTCTAATTTGGGTCAAGCTCCAAAAATTCTGGATGCCATGCTTCCCATTATGCAATTCAATTGGACCTTTTGCTCTTTAATACAAGTTAATTCCAATGTCTTTAAAACTTAGTTCACGCTTATACATTTTTCTTAGAGTCAGCATCTAGTGGTCATTAGAGGAACTGCATCTCAGGACATGTGCCATGGTGGTTGCTGCTTGATCCTGCCTCCACTAACCACTTCTTCAAACATGCTAATTTGCGCGTCATTTAACAGTAAATTCTCTCAAACTTTTATTTGACAGCAACTGTATTATTTTGCACTCCCAGCTGCTTTTATGTTTACTGAAAGATGCTAGATCGCAGTGTTTGATTTGAGGGGAAATTGTTGTTTGAGAGTCTTTCTCTGGTTAATTTTTTTAAAATATTGATTGTGAAACGTTTATTTCTTTTAATTTTATATCAGCTGCTTTTTGTCCTTCCTCCCTCTTGTGTGATTTAAATGTGAATTAAGGCAGATTTGATTGATTATTTTTTTACTCTGTCGAGGTTCTACTGCTGTGTCTCTCTCTGTTATTGCACTCCCGTGATCCCAGCTCTTTCTTCCTCTCCTCCTCTTCCTTTGGCTGCCATCTTCATCTGTCCATCACAGAGAGTATATTTGGCAGTGCTGCTTTTGTTTCGATTTACTTTTTTCCCTAATTTTCCTCCCTCTCTCCCTCGTGCCCTCTCCTATTCTCAGGATATAAAGGTAATTCATGCCAAAGACTTAATAAAGGCCTTACTGTCCCCAAATACAACCACTTCACACTCTGCTTTGTTCACTGAAACCTCCTTTGTTTTTCGATTTATTCCATTTTATCCCTGTCTTTTCCTTTTTTATTCTCAAGTTCTGTCTTTAAGTCTTTCTAAACTCTCGATGTATGTGTTTTTTGTAATGTCTTATTGTTATACTTCTGTTGTTATTTCTGCAGTTATTTTTTTTTTTGTTTTTATTTTTCTGTCACATCATTTCCCTGTCTCTGATTTTTCCACACACAAAATATAGACTATACAGATGATGTACTCGAGCACATACTCACAAAATTATAATGCTAACACACACACACACACACACAAGCAGACACAAACCCAAGGTGTGTGACTCCTGTTTTGTCTTGCATCCACAAGCCTGATATATATATGTATGGGTGTATTTAGCCAGCTGCTGTACTTCTGTCTTCCAAATCTTCACTTTCCTACCCTTCTCTATTCCTCTCTCCCTTTCCACCACCTCTGCTTCCATCTTTACCTCCATCCCTTGTTCTGTCTCTCCAGCTGGGCTTTGCTTGGTTCTGATACTCACTGTTTATTATTCTGATTGCCAGCCTCACTGTCTATTCTGTGATCGAGGAATGTCAAACAGAGGCATAAAGTATAGCCTTTGGAGGCATGCAGTCCAAAACCACCCTGTCCTCCCTATACTTTGTGCGCTGTGTATCTGTCTACCTGTTGTGTTTTCACATGGATTTTAACCTGTGATTTTGGTTTTCTTTTCACTGACTAGACAAACAAGACCAAAGGAATCCATATTTCTAAAGCCAAAAAAAAGCTTCCTTTTGAAGAGAAGTTGTTGTTTTTGTCAGCTCGCTGGGTGTCAAATTTCCCTCAGATTTGGTTAGAATCCACCTGAAGGATAAACTTTAAAATTTTAACATCCTCAGAATTTCCAGCTTTCAACTTTGATCAACTTCGATTTATTTCTTTTGTGTTTGTATGCCCTGTTTTTCATCATCATATTATGCAGCAATAACATCTTTCTTTGTTTACAGATGTGAAAAAAAATATTTTGAATAAATTTACGATTGAAGCCGCCGAGCACACAGTAGCCCCTTTGGCTGTAGGCAATCTTAGCGGTTCATGTGAAACTACAACATCAGTGCATTTCACCGAAGGCTGACTGTCTGTCTGTCTGTCAGTCTGTGTCTCTCACATGTGGGTTAATGTATTGATCTGTCTTATCTGTCTATCGATCTGTCTTTCAGTCTGTCAGTCCATTTGTTGGAGAAAGGTTCATTACACAGGGCCAAATGCCTTTATATGCATCAGGATTTAACCAATACAGGTCTTTGTCTTTTTGAGGGTATTTTTGGACTGAAGCTGAAGTATTTTGTGCTGTCATGCAATACATTTGGATTTAAAAACTCTAAAAATTAGTACTGAGTCCCTTCTTGAGAAGTCCTGTGAGGCAAGAAAAGCTTCTGAAACAGCATTCAGACCTTTAGATTGGGGCAGTAAATCTCCAGTAAACCCAGGATCTTATTTAAAAGATATTCAAGAGACTAGAGATATAATTTTTCTGTAACAGCTGACATTAGCCTGCTTATTTCCAAATCACTCTAATCTGAACACACACACACACACATACCACTGACAAAATAAGCAGTGTTTGGTTGGCACACACTTACGTGATTCATAAAGAATGCAGGACTTACCAGACAGTTGCAGATATTGGGCAGACATAATGGTAATAATGATGATGGAACAAAGCTGTTACACTGGGCTTTGCTCTCAGATTTGTCAAATTTAAGTTAGACATTTGCACAAAAATTGGCTGACTGGCTGTTTTTAAGCCTGAAATGTTTGCTATTCTAGTTATTCTAACAGATGTCTCTTAACTTAAGATGAATTTAGACAGAGAGCAAGGAAAATTTTCTCCTTGCATCATTTGCGTGAATTAACCGATAAACCACTTGTGTTTATTCACCCCAAACAGCGACTGGATCAACTCTACAGATGTCAGCTGTTGGATAGCTAGCAACAGCACACATACCGAATCTTTGGGTGTGTTTGTGTTCAGCCAGCCTCTGAACTCTCTTCTGAACTTGTCTTCTGTTCTTTCTGTAATTTCCCTGCGTTCTTTTCTTTTTCCTGTCACCTCTAAACATTTATGAGAATCAAAGCCCTAAGATTTGTGTAGATTTTATTTACTCAAGGTGAAATATTTTTGAACTTGAATGGGTGAATATGCATCTTAATATCATATTTCCTTTGACTTTATAGGCAATCGCGCTGCCTTTAAAATTCAATTTGGGTTCCATTCCCACAAAAAGCTGTTTCCATGGTAGCAATCAATGACACGTGAAATTCTGTATCTTTTTGTCATAGTCATTGCTTTTTTCAAAACAAATTTCTTTTTGGTATTGCTTCACCAACACACACAGAATTTTCAGCATCTAAAGTACTTGCAAGTTCTCATCAGAGGGCCCAAAGCTGAGCTACTTGAAGCAATTCCCCGTGTTTTTAACAAATCCATGCTGCAAACAGCCACAGTTGGAGGCGTTGTGTTTTCAGTTGTCCGTCCGTCCCATTCTTGTGAACACAATATCTCAAAAACGCCTCGAGGAAATTTTTTCAAATGAGGCACAAACATCCATTTGGACTCAAGGATGAACTGACTAGATTAGATTTTGGTTGTCATAGATAAAAGGTCACAGTGACCTCACAAAACATGTTTTTGGCCATAATAATGCATAAATTATGACAAAATTTTACACAAACATCTAATTTGACAAAATGATGAAGTCATGACATGTTATATCCAAAAGTTCAAAAGTCAGCTTCCATGTGACACCATAATGTTCTACACCCTGTCTGCAGCGGACATATTTCAGATATTTCAGCCCCACACTGTCCCACGTGGGGCTAATGGAAGGGATACACTTCAGTTGTAGTCACTGTAGCTGTCTACACATGCCACGTAACAGTTCTTGCCTCTTATGCGTGTAACTGCAATCTTTAGCTTGCTTTTACACTTAAAGTCCATTTTCCTTCAACTTGTATGCATAACTACAATTGTGAATTAGTGCTGTTAAAACACCTCTCAAAATGTGTGACAAATTAACCCAACCTAAGATTTAGAAGAATTTAGACATCTCTCCTAATTTTCTTTCATACAACTAAGCCATAGTAGAAGTCTGTCTTTTTACAATCTGCCCTCAACCTGATGAGTATGGATTATTTCCTGATTTATTTCTAGACCAAACCATGTATATTTGTTTTTGTTTTGTCAGATGTGTGTACTGAGAAATAACTTCAGTGTAGTGTGGTGTAGGAGGATTTCATTCAGCGGTGTATAAACCTGCAATGAACCCTGCCTCATGCCTTAAGAAGCTGCCAGACCACCTCAGGCGGTCTCTTTATTGTCCCATGATGGTCTCAGTGCTGTTTCAGAGGCTTGTCCAAGTTGAGATGGAAACAATGAATATGTTGCATTTTTGCCATGAAAAGGCTCCAGTGAAAAAGAAAAACAAATATCGATCACTCCCATCTTTCAGAGCTTCAGTACAAAACTATCATCACTGACCTTCAAAAATATATTGGTTGAAGCCTAGTTCACAGCCTGATGACCAGCCGTGACCACATCCCACTCACTCACACTGCTCTAACTTTTTTAACTGTGTGTTTGTCCCCTTTGCCCAGAGGGTTGTCCAGGTCTCTGCAACAACAACGGACGATGCACTCTGGAGGCCAGCGGCTGGCACTGCATCTGCCAATCAGGATGGAGAGGGGCCGGGTGTCACGTAGCCATGGAAACACTCTGCACTGATGGCAAGGATAATGAAGGAGGTATATTTGTACACTAAAACTGTAGAGCTTGCAGATACATGGTGAAATAGATGACCCTTTATATTTGTTTGATGGATGGATGAACATGCGGCAGAAATCAGCAGGATGTTGGCACTTTTTCAGTTGGGGTGTTCAGCAGTGATTCGAGTCTTAAAGAACATGCCATGCTGTAGGAAGAGGTCTAGGATTAGTGTGAAAGTTACTTGCATGAAAAATGTTAGCCCAACAATTTTTATATCCATGTAATGTAAAGAGTCCTGGATACTGGAGTCACACTTGCGCATCCATGTGGTTTACAACATGCAATGTAAACTAGTTATGGTCTGCCATATTTGAAACCGTATACCATGATTGTATGCAGCCCCCTGCAGATTTACAGTGAACTGACAAAAAATAAAAATCCACTCACAGCATCCAATCAAACCAACCCCCATCCTCACTTGACTGGAAGTAAAATAATAGAAGATTAATATAAACATCTAGCCTATAGCAAGCAAGCAAGTTTCCACCTAAGTGTAGGCAATTACATCAGCTTATCTTGGATGAAAAAACAAACGGACAAACAAACATTAATTCATTCATTTTCCATAGCTGCTTATCCTGTGGTGACATCCCAGGTGACACTGGGCGGGAGGCAGGGTACACCCTGGACAGGTCGCCAGACTATCACAGGGCTGACACATAGAGACAGACAACCATTCACACTTACGGCCAGTTTAGAGTCACCAGTTAATCTAACCTGCATATCTTTGGACTGTGGGAAGAAGCCGGGGAACCTGGAGAAAACCTACAGTAAGCTGACACAGAGAGAACATGCAAGCTCCGCACAGAAGCGCTCCACCACCCTGGGGTTGAAGCAGGAACCCTCTTGCTGTGAGGCAACAATGCTAACCACTGCACCACAAAAAACAAACAGCCAAAGGTATTTTCAGTCAGGACTCAGAGAAATAGACAAAATGACCATGACCGCTTTAACACTACATTATGTGTTGGTGGCACGTAATACGTTAAAATTTCGAGCTGGCACCACAGAAATAAGGCCAGTGGAAATTAAATAAGGATCCAATGTGTTGGGCATGCAGATTTCCTGGGTAAATAATACCACGTAATGGTTGGTGGTTAGTTAGTATAAAGAGCAAGAAAACCTGCGATGAGAAGAGGTCAACAAAAACAGAACTTTCACCCAGGAGACTTCTGCTTGTGTCCTGTGCGAAACCAAACGTCAATGTTGACTTACTGTAACTTAACGCACTTACATACCCTGCGTTCTTACATCATATGACAAGATTATGTGACTTACTTTAGTCTTATACGTAACAAACATAATTTCAACCAAAGCACAATCTTTTTCTAAACCTAGCCAAGTAGTTCTGGTCGCTAAACAAAACTGAATCCGTTGTACAACTTTTATTTCTGTGAGATCAGGTCGGGTATGTATAGAAATCCTTTCAAGGGTTTATTTTCCAAATACAGACCCAGTGTTGACCAAATTCATGGGAGAAAAAACACATGAAAGCCAATAAATCATCATCTGATTTTTTAAACTCGCAAATATAGATTTTGTTACTGGCTTCACCGACACAGTATCAATGAGGCTCTACTGCTGAAGATCTAAGAAATGATGAACTGGCTGCCTCCTGCTGAGAGATACACATTAACATGTAGCATACCTACAGTGAAAGTTACTTACTGTACATACAATCTGTAGGTCCACAGCTGCTGAAGGAATGCAGAACATGTATCAACCTTGATGCAGCAGCGGAGTGGAAAGGCTTCTGAACGCCAGTCGGGATTGGGTCTTTCATGTGAGCTGTAGTATTCAAAAGACACTGGTACTGTCTTTTAAATAGAAGCTGTAGAGAAAGAGAACAATCTGAAGTTTCAAACAAGAAACGTAAATAATACCCTGCTGCCGTAAAAGTCTAGGGGGAAACCTTGGAATTGAAAAAATGCCATGTAAGTAGTCAAAGTAAAAAATATTTATGAACACAAAACATCAGCCATCAGCAGTTTCACCCCATAAATAATACTCTGAGATATAATGTCAAGCCCTAAACCCAAAGCACTTGATGAGAGCAGAGTGATAATTAGAAAGGTGGAGAGGAAAGAAGATGAGACGGCAAAGAAAACAAGACAGAAGAGTCAGGGGGCTTACTTTGTCAGTGAGTGTGTGTGTGTTTCTTTGTGTGTGTGTGTAATGGCAGTCCCTGGTGCCTGTTCACCAGATGTACAACTGGCTTTTATAAACTAACAAAGACAAATGGCAGCCCATATTTTATTACCTTACATACCTCCTTCTATCCTTCCATCTTCCCATCTGCCTCTCAGATCCACTCCTCCTCCTCCTCCTCCTCCTCCTCCTCCTCCTGTCTCGCCCCCTGTCCTTCACTTATCCCTCCCCTCCTAATCTATCTTTTTCCATCATCCCATCCCTGCTTTTCATCATCACAGCCCTCCATCCTTCTTTCTTCCATTCTTAACTCTTGACTTTATTTTTCTTGGCAGCGCCTAATAAACACATACTGCTCACATACTAATTCTACTACATCACTTCATTTTTCCTTCATTCATCCATCCCTCCTTTCCCCACCCCTCATCAGAAAATCCAGAGTTCAAGCAGACTGTCTTTTTGTTCTTTCTTGTCTTCAATGCAACTATACATCAGTGTATCCTCTTTTGTTATTCATCCATTTTTCGCACCTTCAGTTTGTTATTTTCATTACATTCTCTCTATCTCTGCATTTATTTATTCATTCAGAAGCCCACCCATGTTTGTCCTCCATTCTCCCCCAATTCTAGATGGTACATGTGGCCATCCTCTTCATCAACTAACCTCCATCTTTACCTCTTTTTCATCCCTTCACCCTTATTACCGCTTAATTCCTCTGTCCTCGCCACATGCTTGCATTGTTAATTATTCTTAATCCCTCCATCATCCGTCATTGCTTCTTAATCCCTCAGTTGCCTCCTCATCCTTGCATCCATCCATCTTCCTGCTGTTTCTCATCCCTCCATCCTCCTGTCATCCACCTGTAACTTTTCTATCACCTGTTCCACATCTCTCCATACTTTGGCCTTTCTTCTCAGGTTCTCAGGATTCTGAATATAATAACTGTGTGTGTGTGTGTGTGTGTGTGTGTGTGTGTGTGTTTCAGATGGCTTGGCTGACTGTATGGATCCAGACTGCTGTCTGCAGCCCTCCTGTCAGAACCAGTTATACTGCAAAGGGTCACCTGACCCAGGGGAGGTGCTCAGCCAATCTCCGTCCTCACTGGCTCCTCAGCAAGTAAGGAGCTCCAATCAGAAATTAATACAAAATAAGAACGCAACTGGTACAAATCTACATCACTTTTCAATGTAGCAAAAGATACCTGTCTGTTTATTCTAATTATTTGTTTCATTTTCCTTAGGCTGCCAGGTCTTTCTACCAGCGCATTCACTTCTTAGTTGGCCCTGAATCCACTCATGTCATCACTGGAGACAATCCCTTCAACAGAAGGTAAGGTGTTTCTCTCTTTGTGTTTGCTTTTTCCTCGCTGAATTCTGGGCACACAGTGACACAGTAGGGCATGAGTGGTCAGACAAGTTGTGAACAAATCCACAGTTTCTTTTCAAACCATGTATGATGGAGAGGAATGCACAGGTTTGTTGTCAACATCTAGAACAGTGGTTCCCATTCCCAACTGGTCCAGCCATGGGGTCCAGATTTCTCCTTAGTCATAAGTTCAAGGTCCACAAAGCCTAATACATTTGGAGTCATACTTGCTAGTTTGCTGTCTTTGTCAAGCAGCTGTCCGTTACTTTACACTTTACAGCAGGAAACAGCACTTTAAACTGTAAGCTCTGTGCTGAAACTTTACTGTACTTAAAAATAAAGTGTGTTTTTACAAACTTGACATGTTTGCGAGTCACTTGCGGTCCATTCAGAATGGATCTGTAACCCGCTTTTGGACTGCAACCCACCAGCTGGGAACCACGATCTAGTAGATTTTGCAGAGCTACTTCCTGCACACAGTTTTTCATTGCAGTCGACGTCAACTTTGCTTTGACATACAAATAGTTTGGTTTTGATTAATGGGTTGAACAGTTGCTCTTAGTACAACTTCAGTGACTGAATGATTAAGATAGGGAGTGAAATGTAATCATAAACATCAGGAATTATGGTAGATAGAGGCTTTTTGTCATGTAAATAATTTTTTCCAGTGAAGTATGAAAGAATAAGTGGATTTGAGTACTGTACAGGGAGGCTTTCCATAAACCCAGGGGGAGAAGTCACTGTGCCTAGTCAGGGTTTCTGCACAAAATTACTTACTCAAACACTGATGTTTTTAATCAGAGCAGGCTCATAATCTTTTTTTTCTAATTCTTTTCTTTATGTAGCGGTGATTGTTTGACTCATCATTCCTTTGCCTGCAGGTCATAGCTCACCCTACTTTTATTTACCACATTATGAGCAGTTGCAGGTCGGCTTTGCTTTCTGTCTGGATGAATAGAACAGAAAAAGTGGGAGTAAAACGGAGATCACAATAAAGGTCTGCCTTGTTTTTTTGCTCGCCAAAAGCCATTTCTGCCCACATCTTCCTCAGACACAACATTCATTAAATATGATAAGAGAGAAGGAGAGGGTGGCAGTCTGCAAAATACAGAGAGTGAAAGGCAGAGCTACTGACAGGGAAGAAACATGACAGCAGTTCTGTTCAGCCATTTTTCTTTTGTCACATTTTTTATGCTAGCCTGAATGTTTCATAAGAGCGGAGGGCCACAACCCTGTAATAAAAATGTCCTGTATTTCCATAATGGAATGGGCCCGCAACCTTATAATAAAAGTGTGTGTGTGCATGTGTGTGTGTGTGCGTGCATGTGTGCATTTTTGTGCGGGCAGTTAAAGTGTGTTTAAAAATGGCAAGAAATTATGTTTTAATTTCCCCTGAGCTAACAGTGACCGAGTTATACACACCTGATACTTGTAAGAGGAGACAAACATGCACAGTGGCAAATAGTGTCTGCACACAAGCAGGAGATTTGAGTGCACAACTTCACAGGAGTACACATAAAGATGCACTTGCCATATGCACTGTAAGAAAACATAGTGGAGTGACTTTATTAGGAAATATCTCAACAACAATCCTCCTGTGTTAGCTCTGAGTTCATGATTAGCTATTAGCTCTGGCGATCTGCTCAGAACCCAGGATTTTATATGCTGGCAGATGGCTCCACACTGAACCTGCAAGAAGAAACACAGCTCAGAAGAAATTGCTAACAGGTGTGCAGAATTTCTTTCTGCGTTGCTGTGTGGCTGATCGATAATACTAATTAAATCCAGTATTTACATAGTCTGACACAAGTGAAGCTGCCTGTTTACACTGCAGTCATCTAATATGAGGCTCTGTGCTAATGTAACATATCTGATGTGTCTGGTATATGTTAATGGTAAACAGCAGGGCTTTCATACAAGCTTTTGTTACAAATATATTAATCATAATGAGGGGGCGGGCGGCATGGTGGTGTGGTGGTTAGCACTCTCGCCTCACAGCAAAAGGGTTGCCGGCCTGATCCCTGGCGTGGGAGCCCCTCTGTGCGGAGTTTGCATGTTCTCTCCGTGTCAGCGTGGGTTCCCTCCGGGCACTCCGGCTTCCTCCCACAGTCCAAAGACATGCAGATTGGGGACTAGGTTAATTGATAACTCTAAATTGTCCGTAGGTGTGAATGTGAGCCTGAATGGTTGTTTGTCTCTATGTGTCAGCCCTGTGATAGTCTGGTGACCTGTCCAGGGTGTACCCTGCCTCTCGCCCGATGTCAGCTGGGATAGGCTCCAGCCCCCCCGCGACCCCCAAGAGGATGAAGCGGTTAGAAGATGAATGAATGAATGAATAATGAGGGGGCTTCTGTGTTTTTTAATTTGGGTGGTAGTCAAACAGCAGGACTTTGATATAGGCTGGCGTTACATTTTGATTTTTTCAGGACTAATGTTAATTGTGTGAGGGAAGGCTTTAAATCCATGCTGTCTTTGGGACCCCCACAGGTCACGTGACACTGCCTGCAAGAGCTAACTTTATCTCAACCAGGAGAGACAGCAGAATGAAGTAAAGATAATATTTAATACAGGATATGAGCATACAGATTAACACATGATTTGTGCTGATTAAGATTTAACAGTCTTTGGTGCTTGGTCACCAGAGGGAGATATTTTGTGATTGAGGTAGATCTGAGTGGCAGCAGGATAAATCCCCCTCATGGAGTCCAGACATGTGGTGGTGGTGGTGGTGGTGGCTGCTGACTCTGAGGCTACTGACTGTGGAGGCAGATGAGGCTGATGAATCCCTGAAGACTAGATGGTGATGGGGAGGTGGAGGGCGTGCACGACGGCAGCAAGAAAGAACTACAACAGAGGAAAAAACATATTTAAAATGTGGAGCAGTAAGATGAAAGGCTGATAGAGAAGGTGTGTCACTGTGCTGCTGGGCTGTTGTGAATCAGCCGGTGACTCACTTTACAGACCCAGACGATGACACCTAGAGATAGTGAGTGAGCATACATGCAAGAAGTGAATGGCAGGGTGAAAAAGAAAACTTACAGCCTGAGAGTTGTCTTTCTGACTGAACTTTTGCTAGAGCTTTATGTAGTCTTGGTTAGCATTATCCATGCCAGTATAGCTGCCATTTCTCACTGGAATTACATGTACCATGATAGCTAGAAGAAAAAGTTTTGCAAATGCAAGGACAAGTGCCACGTACACATTTATCCATAGCCAGTAATTCTACTGTTTTCCAATGAGTTGCTTTTTGTTTTAAACAATGAAAACATCCATATACAGTATAAGCTATCATGACATTGTGACTATGAGTTTTCTATCCCCTTGCTGTGTGCATTGATTGTTTGTATGTATAATCGACAAACAGAACACACACAACATATTTGCACACAGTGTGTAATACACATTCACATAAAGCCAAAGTTTACATAGAGTAATACCATAGGCATTCAATCAGTTGACATGGTCATGCTCATGTTTTTTGCCCTGTCTGACTTCTTTGTGATAAGAGGGACTTTGAGAAACTGAAAAGACAAGTGCAGTTTCAATGAAAAACAAGTCACAAATTTGCACTGCACAGCCTGATAGCATAAACCCAGCTTCCCCCCCAGCGGCTTCATTTGCAACCAAAAAGGCTGAAGAATAATGGACTTGCATTCAACGGACATCGCACTGCGATTGTGTTGGGGATATTTCTGGCTTTGCAGTGGCACAAAATTCAGGGCTATGATGATTGTGACTCTGTGAGTCAGACAATCTTCAGCCAGTATTGGTGTATGGTTAGACTGATAAATGAGGCCGATTTTGGTCAATTTTAGAAGACTGCAAACTCCAGCGGGGAAAGCCCTGTTTGATCTTAGGGTCCATGTGATCCAATTAGGGAAGTCTAATGAGATGAGGCCTCCCTCCTGACCAGAGCTAATCACTATATTTTCTTTTTATTATGTTTTTAAATCATTATTCTTATGTTAGATCTCTGCCTACGTACATAATTCCATTGTGGTTTGGAAATCTTTTACAGGCTGTAAAACCTGTAATAAATTCAGCTTGACTTTGTTTCATTTGTTCTATTTTCATTTACTTGGTGTGTCAGAGTTCAGTGAAGGTCTAAATACTGTTTCTGGGTTTTTTTCTTGCTCATGGGTGCTCTGAATAGCTTGACTTTTTGCACTGGTTGGACTTTAAGATATTCTGCTACAGCATTCAGGACTGATGGCAACACTAGCTTGAACCATTAGATTATCTAACGGAGACAAACACAAAATCAATATGTTATAGTCACAGTTAATGAACCATGAGATTTGTTGTACAGATCTTTCAAGTTATTATTATCAAAGCAACATGCATGTCTTTCAAAAACAAAACAAAACAAAGGTGCCTGAATGAGAACAAATTACAGAAAGCGTAGCATAAACAGGAATGTGCATCTTGATCCATGGAATATAGTTAAAAGTTATTGACCAAAATCGCAGAGCTGTTGTTATATAAAAGCAGAGCTGCGGAGTAAAACTATGCAACGGAGTGTGATGAGGATGTGCAGGCATGCTCTGAGTGCTGTAGTAACATCAGCGTCCCATTACAGTGCTCCCACTCCCACAGCTCAGCAGTTACCACCACAGTTGTTGTTTCAAGTGATGCCTCACTGCACTCTGCAATTCCCCTCACAAGGAGTAATAGTGATGATAAGAAAGGCAGTGGTGTCTCTCTGTGTGTGAGTGTGTGAGTGTATTATTGCACGTCTGGCCCGAGATAGTTTTCCAGCCCAACCGCAGGGACTCAGGTCAAAGACACCAGGGGATATTTTCTGTCCTTGATGGCTCAATTTTTTCACTTCATTACAGTAAAGTATGAGGCGACTTCTTTTGTAAATGATGCAGCTTTAACAGAAATAACCCGTTTCTGCCATCTCTCTCTGTTTGTCTCTTCAGCTTGGTGTCGATAATTCGAGGTCAGGTGTTGACAGCTGACGGGACACCTCTGATTGGAGTCAACGTGACATTTGTCCACTATCCTGAACATGGATACACTGTAACACGCAAGGATGGCATGTGCGTATTAACTAATTCTTTATATGTCCCAAATGTATTTTACATCGTTCCTCAAAATTGTTTCACTTGATCACTCCTTTATTTCTTACACTAGATATTATGCCTTCTCAAATAACCAAAGTAAGGGGCTGTGTCCGCCGATGCATTTTTCTGAGGACAGCGTATTTGTTTAATTCTTTGCAATGGGAGCGTCGTGTATTTACGCTACACTACAAACACCAACAGCGTGACTAGACACTGAGCATCTGTTCTGCACTGAGCCCTGGACGTTTGGTATTTGTTGGCAAGAGCTGAAAAATGTACAACTTTGGGTAAAGTGCTGCACTCATCACATTTTACCCAGCAGTCCAAACACAGTGGAGTAAGGGCAGGACAAATACCACAAAAACCATTGCATATTACATGTTAAAGTGCTTAACAACAACAGCAATGGAGGATAAATATGTTAATGGACTGTAGGCTATATATTATCAAACGTTTCCTCTCATTAGCGCACATAAATCGACAGGTCCATCCTCTCTCCCTACATGCTCAGTCCTCTCTTCATCCAGAGCAAGCACTCTACCTTGTGCTGACATTTTTACTTCTGCGGATATTCCGTGTCATGGCAACCAGACACAACCAAACCATCTCAAGTGAAAAAATGCTGCTCCTCCAAAGTGTTCTCAAGCACTCCCAGCTGGGTGTTTCCTGAGGAGCACTTGGTGTTTTCAGCTGGGGATAAACGCTTTGGCGGACACATGCCCTAACTTGAGAAATGAAACGGATGGAACACAGAGCTACCAAAGATTTAACTTGGCACCTGATGGTGTAGAACTGTAATACAGATCATGTGAAGATAAAATATACCGTTCCGCGCAGTGCTCTGATTGCAAGTATGCAGCAGGCATTAACTGAAATGTTAAATATGCGACAAACCTACAACCAGCTGTGCACCACTGTATTTCTTGGCACACTGTTTTTATCAGGTCAGTTAGTGTCTGGTCGCTCCCCTTCAGTGCAGTTGTTCTGGCTCCACAGGTGAAGTAAAGTCACTGCATGCATATTTGATTCTGCACCTCTTTAGTTTAATGATTAATGAACACAAGACACCGTTTGTATCTCAAATTGTACCCCTCTGTCTGGCAGTCACAAACCAAAATGTACAGACTACTGGAATCAGCACACCTCACTCTTCTAGTGTCCATTATGAAAAGAAACCATAACTGTACATGCACTCAGAAAACAGAAAATTAAACATTGCAAATAACACAACACAGTCTTTATATCCCTGCAACACTGGCACTCCTTTCTATCCATTCATATCCTGTGGTTTTACTCCGCTTGAATATGTATAGCACCACTGAAATGCCAGTTGTAGGCATTTCTGAGCAGCCGAAATGATCCTAAAATGATAATATAATAATAAATCATAAATTATTCTCTTGGTTGAATCTAGTCTATTGACTGAGATGAACTCTGCACACATTTTGTAGAGAAACCTTCCTTAAACAAGCAACCTGATTCACTGACATATTTCATTCATTGTTTGGGCGAACCAAATTACAATCAAATTAATGAATCATGACCCAATGCTTCAGAAAACATCAATACTTAATTTTCTACAGATTGAAGATCAGAAATGGAGCAGCATTTATATCCACTTGAAAGTGCAAGAGGTCACCCGTATATATAGCACTTAACAAATTGCATAAAACACTTGATGAAGAGCCAGTTCAGCAAAACAAAGGGAAAGCACTTAAATCGCATCCACTGTATACTCTACACTCTGCCTCCCCCCATCCACGCTGGGCTTTATCTTCAATCTCAAGCACATCAGCTGAAGAGGTGTGAATGTGTGCAGGAGTGGAAATGCAAGACCATCGCATTGGAAATGCATTGGATTCAAAAGGATGCATCAATCACTGCAGTGCGCACATACTCCAGTACACATGCACAGAGAAACAGAAACAGAGAACAAAAGACATGCAAAGACCTGCACACACACATTCAACAACATATGGATGAGATCAGATAGACATTTATTTTATACAGTGGAAATTTGTGTCCATTACAAGGCAGGAAAGAGTGCAAATATACAGAGTATAAATATGATACATCAACAAAGGTGTAAGTATACAAATATATAAATTAACAAATATCCAAAATCCACAAAATTCCAAATATACACAATGTCAGGAATATAAACACAGTTAATGGTAAGGGACAAAAATTTAAACATAGTTAAGAGTAAGGGCCAAAAAGACAAACAAAGATGATGATAAGGGGCAAAAATATAAACAAGATTAATGAAAAGGCCTAAGAATATAAACATATGTTAACAGTAGGGGCCAAAAATGTAAACAATGCAACGATAAGGGCCAAAAATGTAAACAAGGCAATGATAAGAGCCAAAAATATACACAAGGTTAACGATAAGCTTACTTCTTGGTGAGTCGCATGTAGTTGATAAGATATGCACATGCAGTATACACACTCATAGGTAATGATATACACACTGTCCTTCAGCTGACAGCAGTGGTTTCCAGCACTTACAGTACACTATGTTTGTTTGTTTGTCATTGATGTGCTGCAGGTTTGATCTCCTTGCCAATGGAGGGGCATCCCTGACGCTGAGTTTTGAGCGTGCTCCGTTCCTCACTCAGTACAGAACTGTGTGGGTGCCATGGAACGTCTTTTATGTGATGGACACACTGGTCATGAAGAAGGTGAGCAGTGTCTCTGCTGTCTGTCTGTCAGCATTGGGTCATGGACTGATGGCTGCCTGACAGGAACTACACTTGTAAATAGTAGACTTTTTGTCTGACTGATCAGACAGTTATTGAATTATTATTTGATTACCGTGTGGAGTATGGTGACATTTCTCGCCGTGGTCGAATTCTATTCATTTTTGCGTATTCAGTGTCTGACTGACTCTGACTCACTGGCTGACTAAGTAAGCGACTAATGAACTCATTGCTTCACAGTCGATGAATTGATGTCTCAGGAAATGAAAAGACTAACTGGCGCACTCTCTGTCCGGCTGCTTCAGGAGGAGAATGACATTCCTAGCTGTGACCTGAGTGGTTTCATCAGACCCAGTCCTGTCATTGTTGCTTCTCCACTGTCTACGTTTTACAGAAGTTCAACTGAGGATGGCCCCATCATACCTGAAACACAGGTAATAAATACGACACTGTTAGGCTGTTAGGTAACTCGACTAATATCCAAGGCCAATATTTATACTTTTAAAAAAATTGAGATCTCAGTCTGTCAGAGTAGTCAATGAATAATGTGGCCATGGAAATTTCAAGTTATCAGAATGTATCAGCATACATAAGATATAAGCTTCAATACAAAGATAGCAATTACAAACCCATTGCCCCCAGTTGACGCAGTATGCGCCAGCAATTCCCCTCTTTCTTCTTACTGATAGTTTAAGTTAGACACAAAACATATATCTTGAATTAAATTTGAATGAGCAGATAAATGTTCATACACTTTAACCAGTCAGAAATCATAGAAGAAAAGATGCTGCTTATAGCTCCAGAACTTGCATGAGAATTTTATGTTTTTTTAGTTTTCTTCATTATCAATGTACTGTAATTTTGTAACAGTAAGCAAAACATTACAGGTAATTCAGGATAAGATAATCCAGCATACCTTTAATGATGTAAATGTGCCAATATGTAAATAAATGCAGGCTTCAAGGAACAGGGTTTAACAGCGCAACTCAGTGACCCCATTGCAACATAATATTTCTTGTTTACATGCCACAAAGCTTTATGGGAGCTGTAAGCCCCGTTTCCACCAAACACTTTTGGTATGGTACCTTTGGAACCAAAAGTAACCCTTCAGACCTGGGGCTCTAGTTTCGCAGACCGGGCAAGGTGGGGGTGCAGCGCACCTGCGCTTCGCCAACTGGCTGTGGCCAGGCAGATTTTGCAAGTTTGGCACACCGTGCGCGTTGCTGCAGCTGTTCCTCTTTCCCACCTCCGTCCGTCCTACCTGCGCAAGTCGGAAAGAGGGAGGAGAGAAGGCGTGGAGTGGGTTTTACACAGCCGATTCACATCACACCAATCACATGAGCCTCTCTTCTCGTCCTTAAATGTGCCGCGCGAAGGCGTAATGAGAGTTTACTTAATTCGCCATGGCAGAAGAGAGCAGCAGCATCACACGGCCAAACTTCTCCCAGGAGGAAACTGATGTTTTGGTCCGGGAGGTCCAAGCTCGCAGTGTCCGAATATACGGAACTGCGAGCAGACCTCCACGGGCTGATGATGCAAAGGTAGCCTGGGAGGAGGTCGTCACAATTGTAAATCAATGTTGCGTCTCTCTCGTGCGCGTGCGCTCTCTCTTTCTCTCTCGCAGTCTCACTCTGTTTCTTTTCTTTTGACTTTTCTAAGATGACAGATGCTGAATATATACTCCCTATCTGATGCTGTGGCTGTTTGTGGTTGGCTGAGAGGGATGTGAACTCATTAGTTTGCAGCTGTTTAATCAAATCAGGTTGGGTTTCCCATTACGTGTGCCAAACGTGCCAAACGGTGCCAATCCCCTTTGATCTGACATCAGATGTGACGGGACAGTCGATATAGAGATTCATTTATGTGCTTATTGCAGATAGTTGCATTGAATAGTGTTTTTTGGGTATTTATTGCATTGTTAATGTGCCTGATGTTCTGGAAACCTCCCTGTGAGGTTTTGGTAACGTGTGCGTACTGTCCGCCGGTCAGCCAAACTTCGGCTTACACCGGCTGCGCTCCGAGCTTTTAGCGCACCTTCGGCGAAGCCTTTTGGCACCTCCCCCTGCTGCGCCGCCACACCCATCTCAGCGCACCTCGGTCTGCCAAACTACCAAACTGAGCGCGCCTCGGGTTGCGCTGCTCAAAACTAGCTCTGCGCGCGGTTCACCACCCTGCGCCACCCTGCGCTGCGCCGGGAGACTAGAGCCCCTGGTGTCTAGATCCTAGGTCCACTTAGTGTTTTATACTGCAAACAGTACTCTTTCATGTGGGCGGGTTGTTGTCACTCACTGCTCAGTCCAGCACTCGTTGAATTTTCTGTATTTTCACTGGTCACACAGAGGGAAGTCTTCACTTTGTATATTGTCCACAGGACAAGGTTGCACACTGACATTTTCAGAACAAAATAAAACAGGCTGCAGTGAGAGTCTCTCTCCATGGGATATTTAAAAATGGTGGGTTTGTGCATTTAGTCCTTCAAAGGCAAGCTCTGGGGTTTAGTGTTGCCGGAGCCCAAAAGCTCCATGATGCTTTTTTTTCTATAAGTAAGGATTATAATATATGCAGTTCACATAATCTGGACACAATTAATATATATTTTCAAACGCTTGAAGATCCACTCATTACTAAAAGTGTTTGTCATTCAAGAGATATAAAATAAAAACTAATGTAAAACTAATGTAATGGTCAAAGTTGACATATTGAAATTTAAGGTGTGTTGATAGATTCACAGCGTCAGCTCATACACTGAGTAACATTACAAGTAAACATTCCACCTCAAAAGTTGCCAGCAGTCGGCCCAGTGAATAAAGTTATTTTTTCGACTACAGCTGCTGTGAGAGGCAGCAAAACATCCTTTCATTTTATAGTTATAATTCACTAATGTATGTAAAACCTGCCACAGTATGAACAGTGGTTACATAAGCTTCAAAACCAGCCACAACTCAGCCCTGAGCAGAGTGACCGTCTGCTATTAACCAATCAGTGGACTGCATTGTTCTCAGCTCCTCCTTTTAAGCCCCATTTTCACTGAGCTGTATGGTACCATCCCCATTTTTGGTCACCCCTCTGTTGGGGTACCAAGGTGCAACACTGAGATTCGTCTCTAACCATTTATATACAATATTTGCCCTGTTATTAAAACCTGTGGCAAAACAGACAAAACCTCAAACTATTTCAAATTGAAAAACATATTTATTCTAACCTGTAGAACATGTATAAAAGAACATTTATGCAAACTGATGGTATTTCTGAGTAGCCCAACTTATTTTGAAAAAAAACAACTTATGACATGTCTGACAAAGACATGGTGTGAAAAAAAGAGAAAGAAAAAACAAGCAAAAAAGTCTAGGGTTTCATTTCAAGAGTGCCTAAATAGTATTCTTCTCCGTAGAACATAATTCTACTGACTCAAGGAGCTCAGGAGCTTATGTAGCTCTGCAGTATATATTATTCATTAATCATCTGCAGTACACAGTATACCCTGGCTAGGTTTTATCCCTCTTCTAAGGCATTCTCAGCTTTAACAGATGGAGCAGATCGGTTTTGAACTAATTTTTCGTGTTTTTTTTTTTTTTTGTCCACACACATCTGCGATTGATGTTTCTTTATGCAAGAAGACACAGTTCAATGTAATTTACTGTAAGCTACATCGTCAGGCAATGAGCACTGTTAAAAAAATGCTTCCCGTGATAGGAAATGAAGACAAAAATGCAAATAAGCTGCTGATTATGAGCCATTGTGCTTCAGAGTGTAAGAGAAATAAAAAAAGAACATTAAATTAGCACTGCTGATTATATTTTGAACTAAAATAATTAGTTCAAAATTAATTGCCAACTATTTTGATAGGATATTTGATGTCATTATACTGAATGTGCTTTGGTCTGGACTGCTGAAATGTCAACTTGGGCGCTTGGAAACTGTGATGGGTATTTTTTACTGTTTTCTGACATTATATAGAACAATGGATTATTCAAGAAAATAATAAATAATCAGCAGATAAATAGATAATGAAAATAAATATTAGTTACAGCCCTATTTTAAAGACGATTTCGAGATGATCAACAATACATAAACACAATACGTAAGTAATGTTGATCTTCAGTTTCCATTTTCCTTATTTTTTCGTATTCAATATATAAACACCAACTTATCCTTGGACTTTTTAGGTACAGACTTAAAGCTGGCACAAATGAGTCCTCTTCTCACAATATGTACTTGGCATAAACATAAATGTGACCAATGCCAATGAGCTGAATTATAGACATAAAATGCTCCTTTTTTTACTTCAAATAGGATGAGGGTGCTTTTCTTCCAGTCCAAATGTTCTGAAGGACCACTGAGGCAAAGAAAAAATCTAAGTTGTTTATTCTCTTTATAACACTCACACTAGTGCTGTTAACACCAATGATATGATATGTTTATGCTTATGAAGTCTAACTGTCATAGAAAGTGCTAAATGCTAACACATTTAACAGGCTAGGTTCCTGACAAACGAGCGGGGGAGGAAAAACACACATCTTCCCTCGCACATACGAACGCACACACATAGTTACCACAGCTGAGGATCTGTGGTTGTGGAGTGGTGCACACACACACACACACACACACAGAGCCCCACCCTGTGCCCTGCCTCTAATTTCCTAAAAGCCTAATAGCACATTTGTGTGGTTCTTTATTGTCACATTGCTTTAACCGGTCCGCAGAGGAAATGAAACAGATGACAGAACTCCATGTGTGTTTTTATATTTTTACAACCCTGAACCAGCGCTCCATTATTATTTTTTATTTGACAAGCGTCTGTGCATGTGCCTGACTATCTGCGATAAAGGAAAGGAGTGTGTGCACGCAGGAAAGCATGTGTGACATGTGTGTCTGTGTGCGTGTGTGTGTGTGTCTGAGTGCAGATCAAAAGCAAACGAATGGAAAGCTGCTACTTAGCTTTTGGTAGAGCTGAGTCCATTAGCGAGGAGGGCAGTGAAAAGGGCAGTCTTAAAGGGGATGTAATGGATCTGTAATGAACACTTAATGCCCAGCTAATGAAAAGGCAATAGTGCAGCTGAAAAATATAACACAGGAACAGTCCAAATGGTCCATTCCCTGAGGATCTTTGTTTTTATTTTTCATTTTTGTACTCGTAAATATTTCTTCTCAATCCGCTTTCTTGTGAAGTCCACCTCCTCATCACAAGTCTTTCTTATCCTTTCGATGTCTGGCCCCTGTGTACATCGTTGAGGTATCTAAAAATGATCTAACTTTTATCTCGAACCAAGTATGGGAATTTATATGGAAATTTACTTTTGTCTTATTTGAACTTCAAATGTGTGTATTCTCACTCCAGCCAAACCATCTGTGGAATAAGCAAACCTTCAGCCAGAGCTGAATGGTTCTGGGCTTGTGGTAGGAAACCAGAGCGCCTGGGAAAACCTCAAAAAAATGGAAGGACAATTTCCAAGCAGAAGAAAATCAGGACAAGCACTTGAACACATGACTTTGTTGCTCTGAGGCAACAGTGCCACCAATCACACACTGCAACCCTTTTTTTGTCCAGCTATATATCATATAGCTTTCCTGGCATCACAGGACTGCAAAGTAGTTTTACCCATCATCTGTGTGGGTAATAATGTCTTTGCACTCAAGAGGTTAATTGCTGAGATCAGGGAGCACAGCGATGTTGTTAAATAGAGGTGTGGCGCAGCAAGAAACAAAGCAATAGATGGGTGAAGGGTGTGACATGTAACACAACAGTGTCTGCCTCTAGTCTGTCATATAACATATGCGTCAGCACAACAGTGAAATATCACGGCAATAAAAATAATTTATTGTCCCTGTCATACAGCGGCTGATCTCGCCCTCTGCTGGGAGGGTAGGAAGCCTCTTGACCAAGAACAAGACTGTTCATAGTCTCCCCAGTTCGCGGACAGCTTCTTCTTTGAGCTAGCTGCTAACTGCTGCAAGCTGCTTTTTAAATCCCCCGGTGGTGGGTCACACACATAACAAGCTGTCAATCAATCAGTCAAACTTTATTCATATAGCACATTTCATACAAATGTAATCCAACACAAAGTGAGTTTCTCTCTTTGAGCTTCAATAACTAAGACCTTGGTTTTGTCCTGGTTGAGTTGAAGAAAGTTTTCTGCCATCCAGGACTTGATATCTAGAATACAGTTAAAAAGGGCATCAGTTGGCCCTGAGTCATCAGGAGACACGGTGATGTATAGCTGTGTATCATCAGCATAACTATGGAAACTGATGCCGTGCATTCTAGTGACGTTTCCAGGTTGCAGCATGTAAAGATTAAAAACTGTTGGGCCTAAAATTGAACCTTGGGGGACACCACAATCCATTTTATAGCTTTTTGATGAACACTCATGCATTGTTCCATAAAATTCTCTGTCAGAAAGATTAGATTGAAACCAGCTAAAAACAAAATGTACCTGTCTTGTTTATGGTCCCATCTTGCCAGCTGTCCCTTTTACACAGATGTAGATTTGGCACTTTTGCTACCTTCACTGCTGGCTTAAACCCTATCCCCCCCATCATGCAATTGTACATTTTATGAAATATGGTGAGGCAGAATAATAGCGTGACTTTCCCACCTTGAACAGGCAGCATAAAAGGGCCTTAAAATCGTTTTCATTACCTTAAACGGAGCTTAAGGGTCCTCTTGCACGAAGTCCACCATGTCATTCTACAGTATCCTAGAATGGACAAATAAAACTGTGGCTCTAGATAGGGCATTTTCACTTAGCCACCATAGTTTTCCTACACGTGGCACATGGGGGAAGTTTCAGTTGTGCAACCTCACCACTAAATGTCACTAAATTCTTAAAACTAGACCTTAAAGTTTCAGTGTCCCAGACAGTTCTTCATTCATTCTTGATGAAGCTTAAAGATGGCACATCTTGCTTGTTCTCTCAGTGACTTTGCCAGTCTGATGCCATGCTGCTACCCTCACTCTCCTCCAACAACTCTCAGTCATCCCACTGTTGACACTCAGTGATCCCACATCATCAGTGACGCTGAGACATGTTGCGTGTCCTCTGCTTTATGTGTCTGCCCGCTGATAGAACTGTGATTTAGTCTGGCTCCCCTTGTTGAGGTTCAGCACAAGGACATATTCAGGAACACGCACCATCTTAGATGAAAAAAACACATGCATTCATATGCAGCTTAGATAATATGCATACCTAAACCCACTTATGCATACACCTGTAAATGAGTCCCCTCAATCATTTTATTTCCCTCTTCTCTCCAACAAGCAGAGAAGATTATATGTCATTTAACGCTGAATAGAGAGCAAAGTGGCGGATTTGAAAGTAAAAGACGATCTCTCTGCATGGGTGACAAAAGGTCAAGAAGGTGTCATATGCATGTCTCTGTGTGCCTGTGTGTGTTGTGATCTAAATCAGAGTGGTCCTTCTGCTTGTCCTTCACCTGCAAGTGCACCCAATAAAATATTAACATGATGGCGTTCAAAGATGTAGCACAGGTGAGGTGGACTTTATGCCGCAAGCATCCCCTCAGGTCTAGAAGCAATACTTGAAAGAATGTCAAAAGTGCTGCCAGACTCCATTACCAACTGGTTTACCATGTTCTCACACAGCTATCTTACATGCTTTATATAAATCTGTCTATATATATTTGTTTGCGTTGGAAGGGGAGGGGGTGATGAGGCAGTTAGTGCTGTAGAGTGTGCATGTTCTCTTCATGTTACCGTGGGTTTGCAGGCCACACTAATTGACTCTAAATTGCCCATAGGCCGAAATGTAAGCGTGAATTGCTGTCTGCCACTCTGTGTCAGTCCTGCCCCGCCTCTTACCCAGTGTCAGCCCTAACTGGCTCTAGCCTGCGATCCTGTAAAGGATAAGCACTTACAGATAATAGATGGATGGATGTTTTGTTTTGTGGGTTTTTGCCATGGTGAGGCAAAACTGTTGCCTCTAGCCAAAAAAATTAGCAAGTGTAATCATTCACTCACTAAATTGTTGACTATGTCAGAATACAAAGCAGCTGTAGAGCAGCCTTGTTTTGCAGATCAGTTATGATCCAGTATGATTCTTTCCCCACACAGACTTAACATGATCACTATCTATGTGATGCCACTTCAAGCACAACAATATGCTGACTGTTCATAGTGTAATCTTAATGATTTAGTTGGAGGTAGGTATCGTTGTCAGTGTCAAAATGACTTTACCTTATTATTAAACTTTTTGTAGTCCTGTATATTTTTATGCACAGTTAAAATGAAGTCAGTAGGAGAAATCCAGTGTGAATACAGCTACTCATATAATAGCCAGAATGTTGTTTACAGCCATTTCATCAGTGCTTGAAAATGTTATCTGGAAACATTTCAAACAGCTCTGCCACATAGACTTCACTGTATTGAGTCGGACAGTAGCCACAGTCTTAAATATGCACACCTGTCATGGCCCCAGATGGTTTCATGTTTGTTTTTCTCTCTTCTGAGTATTCTCACCGCAAACACTGCTAGCAGCCATAAAAAGCTGCATGCTAATTAGCAACCCATTCCCTTCAAACAGGATGCTTCAGATATTGGTTGAGACAGTGAAACAGTGTTCGTTGCTGATGTGCTTTCTGTGTTATTTTATCTCTTTGCAGGTTTTACAAGAAGAAACCTCAATACCAGGCAGTGATCTAAACCTGATCTACCTGAGCTCCAGAGCTGCGGGATATAAACCGGTCCTCAAAGTCACCATGACACAGTCATCAATACCTTTCAACCTGATGAAGGTAAGATAACTTATATAATGTAATATTTAAATTTCCTCAAAGCCACCATGATAGTAGACTGCATATCAATACAGACTGCTGATCATTAACAACTTCTCGGCATCAGTGCTCTATATCAGTGGAACCCTAACCTGAATTAAGTTGCGTCGGGTGCTGTTTTTTTTTTGTTGTTGTTGTTGTTGTTGTTGTTGTTTTTAGGTTCACCTGATGGTGGCGGTGGTGGGTCGCCTTTTCCAGAAATGGTTCCCGGCCCAACCAAATCTGTCCTACACCTTTATCTGGGACAAGACAGACGCCTATGGTCAGCGTGTCTATGGACTATCCGAGGCAGTTGGTGCGTTTGCTTCTACTTTCAATGCTTAAACAAAAATAACATGTACCTTTTATTATGTGCACAGGTTTGACCACTATAAGACCTTTTGAAAGGTTGTTTAAAAGTTGAGGAGCATCAGCAACAAATGTTTAATTTCAACCTTGACTTGGACCAGCCAAAGGTCCCTGCTCTGAGAATCTGAGGCTACTCTACTCTACAGAGGGGTCTGACCATGTAACACCTTTTATGGCATGTGTAAAATTGTAAAATCATTCCCAAAGGTGACGGGAGCCAAGCTAAATTGCTGTAATGTGTGATCTGCAGCACGTCCATGTGAAAAGTCTCACAGCGGAGTTTTGTAGACGAGTATACCAGCTTCTCTTTTACAACACAGAGTGGGAATGCAATAAAAAAAACTGTGGTTTCCCTCATGATTTTACAATTAACTGGCGTGGTGCTGCTTTTTTTATATGAAGGAATGGAGGCAGAGGCCTGGAGGATAATTGGTGTGACTCAACGGTCATTGGCTTGAATCCCTGGACTTTTAGGGATATGACTAAACACCATAAATGAGTAACACTCTCCCCTTCATAAAAAAACTAGTGATGAAGATTCAAATGATCAGTGATCAACAGGACTGTGGAAGTTGGACTGCACAGCTACAAGTTTCCTATACTCAGGTTAACTTGCTTTCAACCACCTGCTTATTTGCAGTCATTGGGAGTACTTGCTGTGGTGACCCATCCCACAAGCTCCACTTCAGAGACAGTATGAAAGTCTGGTGGTCAAGTAAAATACTTTTTTTTTTTTTTTTTTTTAAGATTTTTCTGGGGGGGCTTTTATTGCCTTTATTTTATAGTATAGTTTACGATTGACAGGAAAGGGAAGAGAGGGGGGACAACATGTAGCAAAGGACCACGGGTCTGAATTAAACCTGAGCCGTTGCTTAGGACTTGTTTAGTACATGGGGCTCCAATCTACCAGTTGATGGTCACCCCCAACTAAAATACTTTTGATAGTCAAAGTAAAATGTGGGATAGTAAGGCCAGAAAATATGTTCATGAAATCCTATGTGTCATTTTGTTTCTGATATATATTTTAACATACAGTACAAAACTAGCACACTACAGTCTAATTTCTGGGCACCACCAGCAATTATTGAGTTGCTGCGAAGTAAGGCAAGCACAATATTTGCATAATTTGATTGTTCTTTGAAGAATTCATTCAGGTGACAGAACATTTTCCAAAAAACACAACGCTCTATGTAGACTGATAGCATAAATGCAGACCAAAAGGTCCATTTTCAAATTTACTTTGGATATTGGCTAAATGTTAACTTACACTAACAGAATGCAGATTTCTTTTTTAAATTCCAATTAAATTTCAAACAATTTACAAATTTAAATTCAGTTGTGGTTAATTAAATGACCATGTTTTACACCATCCAGGTACATGCCGATGGCCCCTTAAAATATCTGTGCACATTCCTGGCTGTGTGTGTTGACAGAAATTATGGTTGTGTGTCTGCAAAATGCAATGAAGCACATAACAATTATGGCGATACAGTATATCAGGAAGTGAAGTAATGTTGGCAGCCCTCTCTGAACAAACAACATCCATGACAGAAAGCTTTGAAGAAGGAGCTATATATACTATACATATATATATATATATATATGTTTTAGCCCTCTGGGAGCACTAAAAGTTTGCAGGCAACTGTTACATCACTGCTGCCTGCATTGTAGCCACCTGTGTATGCATACATGTAAAAAAGCAAGTGTATCACAAGGTCTACATTTCTGTGAGGGTAAAGTAGGAGGTTGGTGTCCTCCCTAACTGAAGGTATTTTTATTAAGACAGCTTTTGGCAGTGAAACTTGCACTTCTAGATCCATTTCATTATTTACTAATATATATCTACTCTAATTGAAAGGAGTGCACTTTGGGAATCATGGGAAATGGTAATAATAACAGCTGACGTATGACACAGATGGAGAGAAAATGCATAAAACATTTAAATTGCACCAATTCAAAACAAAACAAAAAACTCTTGTGGTGTCTCACTATCAAAGTTTGACAGCATGCTGTGCACAGTAGCTGTGGTGAGGAGGGATTTTCCTGTAGCGCCGACTACTCCTTAATGTTCATAAAGCTGCACACAGCTACAGCTACGTTCAAATAGGTTCTGCAGGAAAGGCTTTGACAGGGAAATGGCTTGGACATAATGGGTATGCTAACCCCTTTGACACCTTTACGAGGGACAAGTCCAGCAGACGTACTCCTCTGTGAGTTATTACTTATGGTAGCCCGGCTTAATGGGTGGGACATAAACATGATTTACTGCTATGTTTTGTAACACTCTTGAAATTGGTGCTCATAAGTTATAATAAGGTAGCGTAACCACAAGAATATTTGGAGTGCATGTCTAGCAACTGTTAAAAGCAGAGCTGTGATACAAATGTAGAAGCTGAATTCAGCAGGGGGGCAACTGCACAGCTTAGTCTATTGGTGCTCACCTGCACCTTTCCATTGACTTTGTAAGCATTTGCGTCACATCAAACATTTGCTGTGAACTAATTTTAGACCAGAACACATCAGCTCATCCTCTATTCCCCTCCATCAGCTCATTACTTGCTAATAGGATGTTTTTTCATATTTCATACTGCCTCATAATTACCCAGTTAACATTTGGTAAACAAAACACCTATCATGATGCTCTAACACAGCCAAAAGATTATCCATTTAATCCCTCGTATTTGCCTCTTTTTCTTCCCTCTCTCCAAACATCTATCCCTCCCCTACGGTGGCCCTGAGGGTCAAAACACAGAGGCATTTCAGAAATCATGACAACATTTCAGGAAACATAACATTTCACATAACACGGCATTTCAGAAAACATAACATCTCACAAACAAAACATTTCATGAAACACAACATTTCAGATAAAACAACATTGTTTTTTCTAAATACGCCCTTGTGTTTTGACCCTCCAGGCCACCATACTCCCCTTGATTTTTACCAGTTTTTACCTGCCTTCCTCTTTTCTCCTCTCCATCTCCTCTCCCTGTTTCTTCTAAATTTAACACACACACACACACACACACACACAGCTGTTGTTGCTGCCAGTTCACACAATGGAAATGGCAGAAAATGCACTTGGCATAGCAGAGCACTGTGCGTGCGTGTGTGTGTGTGCACGATTGATTTGGCAAGTATCCCACCCCTTGACGTTAAAGCGTTATACCTCACGGAGACAGGCAGACAGGCCTGACAAGTACTTTTTCAGTACAAAGAAGAAAGTTGAAGTGTGTGTGTGTGTGTGTGTGTGTGTGTGTGTGTGTGTGTGTGTGTGTGTGTGTTTGTGTTGGACGAGAGAATGAAGGCCCTTCGAGAAGCACCAGCAGGAGTCAGTGGATGTTACAAAAGCAGACAAATGGAGGTTAACTCTGTGGTTCACCATGTTTTCAAACCTGTTGTCTGTTTGCTTTGGTCTGAATCACAGCAGCAACTTTCCCAATTGGTCTGGTCTGAAGACGAGCAGAGTCCTAGAGAGGAGTTGAATAACTGGCCTTGCCCTGTGTGTGTCTAATAGTGTCCGTGGGGTTTGAATACGAGTCCTGCCTGGACCTCATCCTGTGGGAGAAGAGAACGGCCATTTTGCAAGGCTACGAGCTGGATGCTTCCAACATGGGAGGATGGACGCTGGATAAACATCACATCCTGGACGTGCAAAACGGTAGGTGCCATAACATGACTGAACCATGACCTGCGCTCTCATACTGCTGCTATATCTTCACATACACACACATAATGTCCACACCGCAAACATAGTACTGCATAAAACATTTCTTAATTCACCTGAGACTAATATTTTGATTTGAAGTTTATACGTGACAGCCGAGGTTTAGAGTTTCATTTTCTACTTAAATGTGAACAAGCTCAAAATATAATTCATATTCCCCCTCTTTCCCTCTCTCCACATCATTAACTGGTTAATTATATGTCGGAATATAGGACAAAGCTAATAGCAGTTTAAAAGTATGTTAATCTCAGCACGTGTCAAAGCGATTGTTGTCATGCAGGCTTTGGTCGACGGAGCGGAGGAAAGAGAATTTAAGAGGGTGTGTATGTGTGTGTGTGAGTTCCTCGTTGGCGTCTTGGATTTGTTCCAGCTGCCCAGTGGTATTTTTGCCAGCCTTTCATCTCTCCCTCCCTTTCTCTCTCATACACTCACACTTGGACACACACACGCACATTGGCTTTCTCATCTTATACACACTCTCCTTACCTGTCATCTCTCCTCCCTTTGCTTGCTTGTTTTTGCATATTGTCATCTTATCTTCCTCTATTATTTTAATTATTTTCTGTATTTTCCTTATTATGATTATATTTAAATAATAAAATGAAACCTCAGGGTTTAGATGTGTTGACTGAATATTGAACATTCCAGTTTGAAGGTACATCAGATTACCTTTTTTTAATGGGAAAACAGGATTCTGTCCAACTTATAACTTTACTTTGCCACAAAAACTACAAATTCAATCTGCTCGTGGATTAGTTTGACTAATTTTCTTAATTTAAAAAAAGAAAGAAAAAACTCATCACCACTGTCTCTGTTTGTGCTGTGATTTTAAGATTTGCTGGCAGAAGGTTTTTATTGTTAACAAGAACCAGCTCAAAAACACTAAATAAATATCCCAAATCTCAAAGTGATATCCACAAAATGAAAAAAATGTATGTATAAAATGAACTTAACTGCTTAAAAAAGCAGATTAAAACCAGTAAGTTGCCAAACTGTTCATAGGCAAGAGAAAAGAGATGAACAGATGAAGACAACCACACATCCACAGAGAAGCTCAACAACCAGATACCTTTCAGTGCCTTCACAAAGCTGACCTGAGGTCAGGTCTTACAACCATTTTCATGTCAGTGAACTGAACCTGACAGAAGGTCCACAGTAGAAGGTGAGAGATGACCTTCTTTGACTCCAAAACCGAGTAGCATGTGGACGGCTCACTGATTTTTTAATGCTGCTCCACACCTTTAGATAGCTGTGGTTTTGTTCTGTCATTTATTTATTTTGACCGTTTGACTGCTGATGGACTCCTGCTGCTTTGTTGAATTGAATATTCGTTTATCTCCACTTTGTCACAACTGTTTTCATTGTTAAAACGTGAAGTCATATTAAAAACTTCACATAGGCATACACTTGTAAAAAGAGTTTTGCGTATTTTTGTTTATGAGCAAATAATGTATGAAAATTTGGTGCCAAAATAAAATATACATACACCTACAGTCACCTAATGCTGATGGCAGTGCACTTTCTTTAAAAAAAAAAAAATCGCTAATTTCCAGAATTAAATTAAACCATAAGGATACCTTGAAAACAGTTGAGAAATAAACTGGAATTGAAAACTGAATCTAAATTCTGATTAATTTACAGATAAAATAAAGATGGGTGTTTTTTTTTTTTTAGAAAAGTTGTGCCCAAACTTTTTTTTTTTCACATGCCTCTTTGGAAGCAAAAAGAAAGTGGTAGAGGAATGAACGGCCCATCTCCCTCCCTGGCTCATGCATTGATTGAACAACCAATTTTTATTGCGCAATCTCATGAATGGAGTCAAGTAGAATTTTATTAACAAAGTCAAAATAGTGTCTGCATGCTTCCTTTTATTTTTTGTTGTCCATCCATCCATTTTCATCCGCTTATCCGGGACCGGGTTGCGGGGGCAGCAGGCCAAGCAAAGCATCCCAGACAATCCCTAACAACTCTCCTCCTGAGGGACCCCAAGGCATTCCCAGGCCAGATGAGATATGTTTTTGTTGTGCAAATGAAAAATCAAGAAGTGAACATGACCTGTTTTTTTTTTCTTCCCACTCAGTGTTTTCCCTGTGATCATGTGTGCCCCTCCTGCAATTGTTCTAATCCCTGGGTCTTCAACGGGGGGTCCGCGACCCCTAGGAGGTCCTCAGAGTTGCTGCAGTGGGGTTTCCAACTTATTGTTGCTTTTCTAAAAGTTTTATTGTTGAACACAAATTCAAATATGTCTGAAATACAAATTAACATATTCAACATATTTTTCCTTTTCTAACAACCTGTTTTTGTGAAAGCGGCGTTTCCTGTCTCACCTACCTGAAAATCAGATACAGGTCAAGACAGCAGCCTGAGGCTGATATGGCCGTCTGCCCGACAACCTCCATCTGTCCAGCTTAATATGCAACTCAATTTTATACAATATATGTAGCAGGAGTCCTTGCTCTGTCTCTCTTTCAGCTAAGGGGTCCTTGGCCTGAAAAACATTGAAGACTGCTCTAATTCATGCCAATTTAGTAACCACAATTGGATTGGGATACCGAGATCGTTATTCAGTACCTTATTATTAACTACCTCTGAGCTCGTGAGAGGCAGAACTGTACACTTTGACAGACACTGGTCACCAGGTCATCTGCATGCATTTTAACATGAATGTGAATCCTTTCCTTGTTTAAACACATATTTGTAATGTGTTAAAGCGGCTGGTCTGTAAAGGATGCATCACTGTAACTCCGGTGCTGTTTACGGAATCGCCTACAGCTACATCGATCGCCTGTATCTGAAGAGACTGGCGAGAGATTCATTTCCATTCAGATAGCCCACCTTTCAAGAAGTGGTTCATATAAGAATAGATACGTATTTAGAAAATGCATTTTGCAGCTCTAAAGGCACTTTGACTTTATAAACCCCCCCTCCCTCTTCCTCCTCCTCCCTTCCTTGCTGTCCTCTATCTGTCACCCCATCCATCACATTGCTATTCATCCCTCTCTCCCTGCAGTCCTCTTGGGCTTTCAACACCTTGTCACCCGATTCAGAGTGTGTGTCTGAGTGTGTGTGAGTGCATGGGTGTGTGTGTGCATTTGAAATGCAGGTGTGATTTGTGATTTTCTGTCTATATGCGTACTGGCCTCTGTGGGTGTGATTTTGTGTCTTGAAGGGACAGTACTGTGACGCAAAATGTGTGTTTGTCCTCTTGAGACTAAAACACACCATATGGACATAGAATCATCTCATCTTTGTTTGTGTTTGAGAGAGAGAGGGAGAGACCATCAAACACTCCTGCTGTGTTTTTTTTTGTAGTTTGTCTTGTAGCTTCGCTAATGATGTGGATGAGACAATGTGTTACATTTGGATATCTCATGCCTGCACAGTGCGTGCTGACGTCTGGCATTGATTTCATTGTGTCTTGTTCTGTGTTTTCATCTTTTGACAGGGAAGACCAGTCACTTTCTTATTTACTGTATGTCTCAAATTCAAATTTAAGTTTTATCTTCATATTTATCTTTGGATAAAAATGGCAGTGAGGCAGCTTTGTTCTCTTTTTACTGATTTACATTCGTTTACTGAATTATTAATTCGTTCATTCACAATTGATGGTTCACATAACATAAAGTAACCAAAGAGTCTTAAAGTCTCTTCCTTTCTCTGGATTATTTAGGACATTTTCATATAAGGCACAACTGATTCACAGTAAGCCCAAGTACAATTACCCCCTCACCCCTAACACTCAGCTTTCACATCAGCAATGTTGTTTCATACCCGAGTGCACTTACGTCATCATGTATGACATTTGTTTATGTTGTTGCTACAGCATTGAAAAGAGCTCTGATTGCAAGATCCCAAGGCCATACATTGGAGTTTACCTTCACATTATGCCTTCTATTGTTTATATATTTAGGAGACAATGTCAAGAACAACTCTCTCCTTCCTGCTTCCGACTTTATCACCCATGGCCATGCAGTTTAGAGGATGAGATTAGAGTGTGCAGATTTCCAAAGTAGACAGGCAGCACTAAGAAATGCCTTTGCAATTCTACTCTCTGACTGCTACATGTTAAAAAGCAGTCCACTACCGTGTTTTGCTACATTTGGTATTGACCTGATGCAAACTGCACCTGAGTACACATTGAAAGATCCTTTTCAAGTGGACCCAGGCATGGATCAATGATCCGTGCTCAGGTACGGCACACGGAGTTCACATTAATCAAATGATCAGGACTTTGAGGTTGAGTGGCCCAGGTCCCTGATTTGAAAGCCTCCTGAAAGACTGGTAGATATTAGTGCTGTACTCAACTCAGAATAATGTCATTGGATTTGGCTGTTATTAATAAATATTTTACTATTTATTCCTTTTTTCCGCATACAGTTTGAGAGATTGAATAGAGTTTGTCGAGACATTCAGGGTGACGACAACGTTTATATAATAATCTAGCCAAATGAGCCCTCTGAGCTGAAGTGTGTCAACTATGCTAAAGACAGATCGTAACATGTTGGTGAAGATTCTCAGTCATCCAAGTCGTGGTAATTCTAAGTGCTATATCGTAGGCAACTGGACTTGCTTGAGTTTCTTGAGGATGTTTCACCCCTCATCCAGGAGGCTTATTCAGTTCTAACTTCTAACTCTTCAGTTATAACTGAAGAATCCCCTTGGGTGAGAGGTGAAACGTCTTTAAGAAACTTAAGCAAGTCCATTTGCCTATGATAGGGCACTTAGGATTGATTGTAACTGATCAACAACATTTTTTTGCAGACACTAGATATCACTTCTAAGCAGAAGGCAGAATATAACGTTATCTCCAAGTCGGACTAGGCAAAGCCTTCCCTCTTGCGGGCAAATTCCTCCGCTTCACTCAGGCTCGCTCTGGCTCTGGGTCTGCAGCTGCCTGTATCAGAGAGCAGCGTATAAGCGGGGAGTGCTCACTC